AAATTCATTTTCTGAAAATAAAATTTAAATGCGCACATGTAGAAGCTAATTCATAAATTTTCTGCATAAATCAAACCACGCTAATTAAATTAAAATGGTCGCGCAAAGCACTATGTCACTCTCCCTCTATCCATACAGTATAAAGTTCTTCAAAATACATATTTTCATAGAACTATTTCTGTACTAAAGTACAATTTTTATTTTGTTCCCTTTTTATCAGCCCACGTTAAAGAGTACACAATGTTCTGCAATATAACAGCAGTTATATGCGAAAATGATTGTTAGTGTTCGCAATTACTCGCTCGATACTTCCCTATTAACGAAATACACGCAACGAACGCTCATACAAAACCATTTCGTCCTTACCCTCTGTTCTTTACCCCATATAATACCTTCTATTTGCGCGGCAGCAAATATGCAAATCTCCAAGCGAGCAGCAGCACGTTATACAACCTACCAATATTAACAGATACATATCGCGATCATTGGCTGGAACCGAAAACGATAAAGCACGACATGTCCAGAACGTATCCATTCCGCGCGCTCTCACCATGGGCAAACAATAATTACAGAGCTCGCGGAGCCTTTGGACGACTCCGAGAAAATTCCGATACAATCTCCAGAGCGTGCACGCCGCCCCCTCTCTTTTATTTCTTCAGTCGCGGCTACGCCGCTGCAAGATGGCCGTGCGCCCTCAGTGCACGCCGCTTCGTTTTATATTATTAAGCTTCTAACGTACCGAAAAGAGCCGGCCGAATGTGTTCCAGGCGCAGGATAACTCGAAGCAACGCTAATATTGCCGAGGATCTTGCCAAATTGTCGCAATAAGCGTCCCTGGCGTCGGTGTGGCTTCTTACAACACCGCATTCTGATATGTACTAGTCGACTGTGGATAGCGGCGCGCAACCTGCTTCCTCCTGCGGAGTGATTATCAACCTAACCCTACCTCCAGAGGTTAATCGAGCCAACGCGGGAAGAAATTTCAACTTCATTGCCCGCCGAGAAACTCCTTTTCCTCTATCCTGCGCCCGTGATAAAGCCAGCTCCTTGGTCCTGTGATGCGACTTTATTCTTCCTTTCTCCTTTCCTCGCGAGAAGCCTCGTTGTCCGGCGAATACACGCGACGAGGTAGGTCTAAACTGCTTTTGGAAATGCGTCGTTGCCAGCGTCCGTTTAAGGAAACACCGAAATTGATATTTTAGGACAATATTAAGATAATCGTTTCGTAATTAAGAATAATTGAGTATTAGTTTATCTGCGTGTGTATTTATTTGGATAATGGGTATAAGTATAATGTTTGAGTAATATAATTTAGGTTAGGTTAGGTTAGGTATAATGTTTGAGTAATATATTTTAGGTTATGTTGTGTAAATTTTAACATTTCCTACGCGATTAATTATGGTAAATTATGAATATTGTGGTGAGGTTATGTTGTGATTATATTACGTTTTGTATATTTTTGAGAAATGAAAGTCATTGTTAGTTTATTGGAAGGGATTGGAATGTTCAGCCAGAAAGTAGGGAAATTGTAATTATGCTAAGGGTAATATTTTGAATTGCAGTTTTCGAATAACAGTGAATAAGGTTTATGTGGAAGTATCATTTATATAATCTCTCTTCAAAGTTATAGCAACACCGATGTCAGGAATCTCGCGTTTGTTTATCTTCTAAACAAACGTTCAAAATGACTCTCTTGCGCATATGGAGTTACCAATTATGAATGATAAAATTGTAAAGTTAAATATTAATTATAAGTTATTAAGCGAAGCTAGATATACCAGCGCAGCTAATGAAACAGAATATCGAAATACAAAAATATTTATTATTCAAGAACTCCAACTGTCATGAATATTTAATATGCTACCAGAGTGCTCCCTAGAGAGTAAAAAGTAAATGAATTAATATACTGTACTTGAATAAATTAATTTCTACAATCTACCCAAATTCATTGCAATTACAATCTTCCAAAAAATACTGTCCTAGAAATTGTGCAATGTTTTGCTATTATATAATCCTTACGCCCTACACATATACAATAAAAATAGTTTAAACTCTGTGACATTGACCTGTTAGTCAGCACATTTTATGAAAATTATCACTAAAATATATACGGACCTAATTAACCTATTTTTTTCACGTAACCATAATTTTATTTAGCACTTTGAGTTGTTCAGAAACTTGCACGGAAAATTCATAAACGCATTTGACAAACCAAATAATTCCATCTAGAGGCTGAACAGCCATTCCAGTGCATCTTGCTTACACTTCCCAGCAATTGTCAACTTTTGGACACAGAGGGCAGTGTTTCGCAGCTTAATGGGTCTCCTGGCGAGGAGCGCCGTCGCGTGATTCTTAAACGACTCGAAACGAGCGAACGACAGTGGTGCCAACGCTCCCATGCGCGGCGTCATTTGTAACGTGCGCGTAATACGCGCTGCATCATTAGGGCGTAATAACTCCGTCGCAGTAGTCGCGACGACATTACCGGTGCATTAAGGTTAATTCAATATCAGCAGGAGTTTCTCATCTTTGGCATCTTCGTGCGTTCGCGTTCCCGGCGCAATATCTAGCCGTTTCCTTTGTTCTCCGTGCACAGCATAGCTGCGGAAATAGTCGAACGAGTGGAACGAGCTTTTGCGAGAATGGCGCTCGTAAATGGGTATCAGAGTGTCAGAAAGTTTATTGAATCGGAGCCATGGTTTTCGGATTAATCCTGCTGTTCGCTGAGACGCGCCAGTCGCGCCACCGTGGCGTCCGAGGAAATTAAAACGCTCGACGTGGAATTGTTCGAATGGATTCGCCGATTTTCTCTATAAACAAAGGGCTGGACGCATTGCCGCTGTAAATTCTTTATTTCGCATGATTTGCTTAATGTTTCCAGTGGATAATTACGATACAGCCGCTATACAGTCGTAATGGGTATTTGTGAACGGATGATGAAATACGAGAATTTTTATGGCATAGTAAATTTTTGTTTATAATCTTGTGTCCGGAATGATTTTTTAGAAGTCGATGCAGAGAATAAAAATATATTTAATATTTGTTGGATGGAAGATTTTGGTTTATGATAAAGAGACCAATATTGTAATAAGTAGTAGTTTATAATATATTTGATGTTGTTAATAGTTGTAAGTGCATAAAGACATTTCAATCTCTTGTTCCATTTATTGTATAATTCCATCGTCCAGTTATTGATATATGCTCCATGCTATACACTATACACTATATTATTTTGCTACACTTTCTATTATTTCATATTCGTCACTATTAAAATGGAACTTATGACACTCATTTATCTTCTAATTTACAAAATGAAAATTCGAAGTGAAGTAATATACCTGCACTCAAAAGGAACATTCGCACGTAGTATGATAATTAATATCCAGATTATTCTGTTTTAAACCCACCTAATAAATCCATTGACATTATGCTCAGAATTAAATGAAATTGCACATGCTGATCTCCATTCTTCCACAACGTCATTCGAATATCAATGGACAATCCGATATTGAAAATGGTTAAAAATTATAATAACTCAGAATCCTTGCCTCGCATATTTCTCAATTACTCTAGTCCACTTTCTCATCTTTCCTTTTTTTCTTTTTCTGATGATTACCACGTCGCTCGAACTGTCAAGGAAGTGATAATGACGCGTTGATTTATTTTACCTTCTGTATTGGTATCCCGAACATACAGAACCAGGAGATCGCGGAATAAAAATAACAGTTGGACGGGTGCAAGCAGCCAGTGACAGAAAAGTTATTGGATCGTGTCTGTGGTTTAATAGGATTATTGCAATGGCCAGTCGAAAGCTATCAGCTCATGGCGCGACGTCTCGAGGAGGCTTGAAATTAAACGTCTCTCTCCCTCTCTCCCTCTCACTCTCCTCTTCTACGTGCCTTTCCAATGTCGCGTTGGGAAACGTTTCTCTCTCGGCTTATACGGATTTCTATCAGTTCCGCTGCACGCGAAGCTACAGGAGTATCGATATTTTGTCTCCTATATTCCACACTCTCCTTCGATGAATCTCCTCGCACACGGAATGTTTAAAACATTTTATTTCTCTGAAGCTTTCCCGCCCTTTTCGTCAGGATACTTCGGTACGAGTGTCTGGTTCCCGTCGAAGTTCGTTGGAAATTGAGTTGACTTTATTCGACGCCACTGAATTGTAAACAAGTGCAATATGTTTCTTGTCTTCATCGATGAACCACAGAAGCATGATCCATGTGTGGTTCGTTCGAGTTCAATGTATCGTGAAAGCATACGGAGCTACAAGCATACGATCTACAAGCGAGAACGAGAAAGTGAGGTTATGTGCGCTAGAAGTTACAGGCTTCGATTAAACAGATACCGAAACAAGCAACAATTCCATGCCGCAGAATGATCAGGAATGATTGCTTTAGTTGCCAGAAACTAAATGTTTTGTACTTCTTCGTGTAAATTTAACCTGCTATACTACAACGAGTCTAAATCGTGGTAACTTTCTGATGCTAACCTCAATATATATAAATTATATTCTCATTGAGGTAAAATTACGTTAAACGGGCGGAAAGCAAAGAGAAGGAACTTTTCCGTAATGAAGGAATTACTTAGTCGAACTATCATGTCACACTCTAGCAGTGCCATCTACCGATACGTCCGGTACCACCCAGGCCCGCAAAATTTAAATCCAACAATTCCTTCTTTTATTCTGAAAAGTAAATGGGGAATACTATGCATGAGTAAAAGTGACTATACATATTTCGTAGTTATATTACACAGTATGATATATTTATTTCTTTCGAAAGGAATAGGAAATTTTCTTATTACATATATTCTTCATTATTTCAGCACATTTTTAGGATTCCAGGAGGAATATTTGCACATGCGACTATGGGATCCGCGGAAACTCGAAGTTCTTTGAGGATGTCGTAAAAGACGTTGCATTGTAATGCAAAAGATATTACAGGGGCGTCGTAATATATCCCGGGGTCGCGTTACGGTCTAGGCTACGCAGCGAATCAAGATATACCGGTTACGTCGCTGATCCAATCTTTCACTTCTGCTATGGCTGTAAAAGCTGTTGGGTACTGCCACTCGCAAGATCTGCTCCAGGATGCTACGCCTATAAATGTGAAAGATGCCGTGAATAATCGATAAGGGTATTAAACATTCGGATAATATACGTTTCATTCGATTAACTAGAGTGAGACACACGATTAGGCAAATATTTTTAGCTGTGATTGAATAAATTGCGAGAGACGTTTGATACGACATTGTCAATTAAATTTTAATGGGCAGTAAAACTCACCGAATAAAGTATTTCCAAAGACCAGAGGCGAGCCCGAATCTCCAACGCAGGGTCTAGCAGTGTCGGACAGGGTACAGAACATCCTGTTCGTTACTAAGTCACCACTGGCCTCCTCGCAGTTCTCATTACTAATTTTTCGCATCTTATTTTGCAAAAGTGCGTCTGAGACCGGACCTAATAACTGTAATATTTGCCATGTTTGTTGTATTCTTTGAAACAGACAATTTGGGAAGTTCTCTCGACGTTCTTACCCGGGATGCACCCCAACCGAGGACTTCGACCAGGGAACCATCGGTGATTATTGAATATGTTTTGGGTAACTGGATGGGTTGCTTGGTCCTGTCAAATGTTATGCTACTAGAGAGCTAAAGCAATGCCAATAGGAATTATATTTAACGATAATATATTACAATTGTATCGCGTTATATATATTATCGTGCATTCTAACTCGACAATCGAGAAAGCATTACCTCAACAAGGCCAACGTCGTAGTCGTAATTAAATGTGTTGAAGGCAGGATGTATCGCAACGCTCTGAACACCATAAACGTCACCGCCCTGGTAGTAATATGACGTGCCGGCCCTCACATGGAACGGTTTCACCTGAATCCTGCAAAAAGCGGGAAAAAAGCGGGAAATCGAGTCGCATGTACGAATCGTGTGTACATGGAAATCGTTCGCGGGAAACACGATATATTAATCTTGCCTGAGAGCGCACTGCGCCGACGTTATTATCCACTTTTCCCCGACGATACTGCCGCCGCAGAAATGCTCGACTTGGTGACCAAAAAACGTGCCATTGTTCTGCAACGAGACCTGCGACGAGAAGCAACGATCCTCTAAATGCCAAATCGACCGTGAAGATCGATCGCACGTTATACTAACCGCAAATGGATATTCCTCTATGGCGGCCCACTCCCCTCCAATAATCCTCGATTCTGCCAGTCGTGGGAATCTCGCTGACTCTGAGACGATTCTTCCTCCATAATCGGCTGTACAACATGCAAAACAGATGAATCGTTTAATGTGTTTCGCATGATACGCTGATGAGTTCAGGTTAATTCTTTTTAATGTTATTTTCCACCGTGTCTCTCTTCCCCTCTCATTCTTTTTCCTTCGATATTTTATATTCGATTTTTCTTTTACTTCGCCATATGTTATGTTCGAAATCTGAGAAACATAGGTAGTAGGATTTTTATACAATTTTTGCTTTGGTTTGGTGAAAGTAAACACTTGCACTACGATTTGGCGGGAACTAAAAGATTGGAAAATAATTCTATGATGTATACGACATTTACGTTACGTTTAATGGAGATATGGACCGCGGTGGCGCTAGTGAGTTAAGTGGTGAATCGTCGTAAGGCTACCGCAAAACGCTCATTTGTGAAAGGGCTAATTATGGAAAATTGTACACCGAAGAAGCATTTAATATTCGTGTAACATGTTGATCAGCTAATAATCATAAAATTTGTCGTAAAGATTCGAGAGGAATTAGACTCGTCATTGTAATGCAAACGGTTAAAAGTGACACTAAAAATATATTTTATAAAATTAACTAAAGGTGTATATTATAAGAAAGTTAATAAATACCAGGGATCTGATCACGTTTCATTAAATATTATTGGAAAATACTTCATAAAAAGACTTCGATCGAAAAAAAATTATTTCAAATAAAAGCTCAAGCAGTCCACAATAATGAGGAAGAACGGTAGTTCGACAACAATATTGATCAAACTGCAAATATTATCACTGTATATATCAATGATTCACTAATAGTTGCGGCTAGAAATTTTCAGATCCCACAGTGTACATGGAACACAGGCTACTGGACCACAGAACAATCCGGATGGCTCACCGAGCACCGAGGAACTAACGATCACCAGGAACAGCAATGCGTGCATCGTGACCACGTTTATGTCATCAGGGGTTCTCGGTGTTCTTTATAAAGCCGCAGATCTGTAATTTCTGCGTAAACAATGCATTCTCCGTGTCACTATCTCTTTCTTCCTTTTATCGGTTAATACTCGAAAGGCTACGACATTAAGGGCTAACTCGTGTCTCATAGCCAACGCGTTTTTCGCGTACGCAGTTAGAAAATGGCTCAAGTTATTAAGATAACACCGAAAAGCAGTTAGCCATGTGTCGCAACAGAGTCATAAATTGGTCACTTCGTTAGGACGTCAGCTTACGAAATTCTTGCTTAATCTAATTAAACAAATATCGACGAGGCTTGTTCTCCCTTCTCTCCCGCCTCCGCTTCGAGACTTCGTTTGGCCCCGTTTCCGCGATGATTCAAAAACGGGGACAGCATAATGGATGGTGGAAAAATGGCTTTGAAAATATCAATATCGAGAATCGTGCCACCTCTCAACGATTATTCATCGCGGGACTAATTGACCTGTGCAAATGTCCAGTTAATGCACGGTCCACACGCTCCGTAAATACGTAACACACTTGTAATTTCATCGTTCTCACCTGTAACCTTGTTCCTTCCTTTTGTCAGCGAGCATCAAATTAATTACTCAGCCCCTCGCGCGCGCGCTATTATCTCACAAAAATAATTTCAATTACACGTCACAATGCGCACGTTGCCGTAAAACGAATCGTCAACAGCGAGATAAACGTTCTGTCTGCCAACAACAGACGAAACGCGAGTTCTCCGCGCGAACGGACAGCGAGTAACGCGATATTTATTATCAAATTAACATACATCAGGCTTGGCTGAAAATTCGTTGCCGATCCGCGCGCGAACGCGCCGGGAATATAAATCAGCGGGTTGTTTTTTCCACGTTCTTGTTACCCGTTTCCTGCAGTTTATTGTAATTAATAAATGGACGATATAACGAGAATTCCCGGCCACGTCGCATTATTTTATTTAACCATTTTCAAAATATCGCCGATAATCTCTTCCATACTCCGTTCGGCCATTTAATCCCGCCTTCCGTTCGTTTGCAAACGCATTAGCGCGTATTTTCCATTCAGCGACCGGCATGCACCGCTCTGAGCGATCGCAGCGCGACAGCGGACGAATTATTATTTCACCTGTTTATATTTCGTCTCGATCGAACCCTGCAACGTTGCGCTCCAAGAAGACGTTTGTGAGCCGGTGAAACGTGTTTTAAGCTGATTAACGTTTCATGGTTTACGTTCTGTTCATGCTTCGCGGTTTACGGTTCATTTGTTAAACTTTTGTTCCTCCCACGGTGGTCATAAATAGGATTATGCGGTAACGAGTAAATTTGATGGTCGTAATTGCAAATATTTTTCACCTTATTAATATCCCGCTGTGTTGTTATACGTTTCTATTTTTTCCGTCCTCATTGATGCATTATGGGTACTCTCCGAAAACCATGTTATTTGGGAATCCTTCTATTTGCGATATTATATCGTAATTAAAAAAACGTGTATCCCATTATTCAAAAATTCTGTCATCCGAATGTATTCTAATTAATTACATTAGAACTAAAAAGACTTATGTCGACTCTGCTTGGTGATCCAAACTTAATCTATAGATACGTCATACTGTAATACATACCGAATAATACATAAACATAGTGCCTTAAACGTTATAAGTTTCTACGAAAATTGGAAACAAATTTTTAAAGACATTGCAAAGAATCACATTGGGGAATTTCGCTGAAGAGTTGATCAAAATGTGAAGATATTTTTTGATTTGTATAAGAATTGGTACCTTTGGTTTTCGTAGATTGCTAGTTACAAATTGAAAGTTAAAAGAATCAAAAAGAAGAAAATAGCGGAATTAAAATACTGTAGAAGTATTTAAAAATGTATGGGCTGCGACCTGCTTGCAGTCTATGCGCAGCTAGCGCCATCTACGTGCAGCTAGCGCCATCTACGCGCAGCTAGCGTCCTTTACAGGACACCAGTGATTAATTCTCGCTTTATCGCCATCTTTGGACGAGGAAAAATTATCGCAACGCGTTGGTGTATTTCATTTGGCTGCTTCCAACTGAGAACCCTCTATTCGTCCGGCCTTTGGCAGCAAAATATTTCAACGGGACACGCGTACGCCGAAACGCTTGAATTCCTGCGAAATGTGCATTCATAATCCGGCGTAGACGCGAATCCGCCATAAATTTGGATAAATGTCGCACTGTCCCCTCCACTGCCCCTCTCCCGTCGCCGCGTCCGTCGTTCAGCGTAATTTCAGTAATCGTATCTCGCCGATACGATGTGCATGTCCGACCAGCTTTTCCCTCTTCATCCTTATCCTCTTTTTATCAACGATCCGGACTATCGCGGCTGAGTCACGAGTCGATTAAACGCTTGGACGATAAAGACAGTTGCATCGCTGTACTCTTGCGCAATGGCTGCCATCGCGGTATACAATAATTCGTTCCACGACTGATGATCTCTTTTTCGAGTACCTCGGTATTTGTTGTACCATTCGGGATGGTAAGAGAAAGGATTTATGGGATTATAATACGTAAGGATTTATGGCCTTATAATACTTACTCGGAGAAATAAATAACGCTGACTGGATATAGGTAATCGGGTCGGGACTCGATGCGTGAGACGCAATTTCATGTCGGCTTTTAAGTTTGTTACATGAGCTTCTTTCACTCGTTTGTAACAAATTTTATCGAATTACAGCGATCACAGGGAAACGTTTGCATATCGGAACAGGAATATTTATAATTTATATGTGTTGATGTTGTAATAAAATGACGGGGAGGTGTATTAAACGTGTCGCGAGAAAGGAAATAATGTTTTATATTTTACGATTGCACTCTTCCTACAATCTTTTGCTTTATTTCTTAATTAAAATTCCATCGATTACTTCAATGTTCAACGAATATTGTTGTATGAAATTTGTGGCTTAATTGATGAAATATAAATAACCGAACTTCTTGACACATGAATATTTTTCATTTATAGGTAACCCTCCTATAACACGGTAGATAGGTTCCTAGAAAATGCCGTGTTGTGTGAAACCGTGTTGTATGAGACACAGAGCTAGTACAAAAAGGGGGTTTCGTTCCGAAAACTAATTAAAACTAATTTTTTTTTTAGTTCTACATAAATAGCTTAATTTTTATTAAAAATTTAAATATGTAGGACGAAAATTTTCTGCAACACTGCATCTTTAAAATCGGCAAGCTTCGTCGTGGCTGTAGAAGTACAGTGTTGTACAAAAGTTTTTGCAATTTTTTTATCGTGTTAAAGCGAAACCGTGTTATAGGATGCCGTGTTGTAGGAGGATTTCTGCAATTTATGAATCGCGTTATGGTGAAACCGTGGTATAGAATGCCGTGTTGTAAGAGGGCTAACTGTATTTATATTTCTTTCATCGACTTACTAATATATCTTTTCTCTTATTATTATAATAATAACCAAATATTCATATAAGTAATATAATGTACAATTAATTAAATTAACAAGATAGTACAGAATCATTTACTTTCCAAATTCTTGGAAAGGAATTAATAAGATCTTTCTTGAAACTCAAATTCAGCGAGCAATTTAAGAAAGTCCGCCTCAGTTTCAATTTGCCTCGTCCACGTTTGCGGATGGCTAAATTTTCGTTTATCAGCTGCACTCGCGGCGAAAATACTCCGTGTCTTATATACAAATTTCTGCTATCTGGTACGTTAGTATCGTTCCTTCTCCGACGCTATCGTGTCGGCCACGCGCAAAAACGTCTGTACACTTACACGCATTGCCATCGTCGAATCCGGCGAATTATAATAAACCGGAATTTCGGAAACTCCCGGCACCTTCCCGCTGTGTTTTGCGCGCGCATGTTCATGTTAAGCCCTTGGTGCAGTGCGTCGTGGTAGGAACCAAGTATTAGAAGTTGGAAATTTCGAAGAGATTACAACGAATTAACCTGAGGAGAAGTTCACGTATAAGAGAGATGCCGCATTTACCCGGGGTTCATGGGGAAACGTCGTTTTGTGAAAATTGCTATTTCGCAGTAGCTAGTGAAGCAATGCTAGTGGAACTTTTGTAAAATCGTCGGTTCGTTTCGCTTGAGATATCACGGTATTTCGAAAAAATCGAATATGATGGTTCAAAATTGTAATTGAGGTATCTAGTGGGTTGGCAACACTGGGAAGTGCTATAATGATTCGTGTAATGGATGCTTTAGGACAGCATGTATTGTTAAATAAGGTGGACGGGAATGAGATTTATTTAGGAAGTTTTATAATCATGCAAATAGTAAAAATAGTGTTCAAATTGCGTTATAAAAGAAGTGCAATCATATAATCCTGTTAAGCAGTACAAATGTTGTATATATATTATTTATCATTTATTTATTTATATTATTTATTTTATTATATATATATTTACTGCTTTTGTTGCAACGAGGTATGAAAATGTCCTTAGTGGCTTAGTAGCTTCTACTGTTATAAATGTTATACTCATCTAACTTCAATGTGATGCTTTCAAAAACTCATAAAATATTAAGTTTCCTGGGTCATCTTTAGATCTCAGACCTATTACTGTATCATTCAGTATCACTTGGTGGTTTAATTTAAACGTGCCAAATCATCAGTTGGATGAAAAATTTAATTACTCCGTTATTTTTATGTGTCTGCCGTATTTAAATCTGTCTAAATGTAGGTAATTACGTACACAAAATGTAGATCACACATAGTTTTGAAATAAATTTACAAAAGGCGCAGTAAAATAGCGAAAAGGACCACTTGAATTCGTTCAAATTTTTAGAGAAATAGTATCTTTAGTTTTCCACCGTGTGTTTGAAAATATAAAAAGTATTTATAAAATTTGATTCCAGATTACGAAAGTATAAGCTTTGCTCTTCAAAAGCAGCTCAAATGGACTGTCCTACAATTTTTTCTAACGGAGTAACAAGTGCTCAAATATCAACCAATTTCCTAGTTAAAACCTACCATATAAGAGAAGAACTAAAATAAGAAAAACTTTTAAAAAAGATGGAGATATTGGGAAAAAATAGATTAAGAGCAAAATCGCAAAGAAAAGTGACAAATGTGAAATTTTTAATAAAAACCTTAGTACCCACCATTTGGACCCAGTTAAATTTAATATTAATTCCATGTATTTGGTTTATCCGAAAGTCTCGTCTTAACATATCATACAAAATGTTATATAAACCATGTACTATTAAAATGCAAAGCCAGGTATTAATATCGATAATCAAACATCAACCGTAAAGTCAGTAATCTACGCTTGAACACGATATCGAAATGCACATTTTGTACGCTACCAAACGAAGAACAACATTTCAGAGAGAAAGCCGAAATAATTCGATAAACAGAATGCTCCAAGGCTCGATTACTCGCTGGTATGCAGCGCGATTAGCAAATATTTCAGACATCCGCGGCGAGACGGACAGACTCCGCGTATCGATGAATATCGACGCCATGTTTCGATACGAACGCCGCGCCGCGGAGATAGCGGTAACTACGTTACGGCTGAACCGAAGCTGAGGCGCAATAGGTGTCGTTCACGAAACGAGAGAATTTTCGGGCGCAGTTAATCAAGGACTCTCGTGCTATCAGTCACGAGAACGCGTTGCGTCGGGTAGAGCGGAATTTAAATGGTAATTTTCAGCGGATTACAAGCTATGGAATTATCCGTGGCCTCGCTTTCATCCTCCGGCCGGCTAATGCCGCCTTATTTTCATTGCGTTCGGCCGGCCGTTCCATAAATAATACACGTTGCTTCCTTTGCGAGCCGCGTGCATCACATTTATAATACACTTGAGATAGGTATGTGCTGCACCGTATATTCCCCTGCTAGGGCCATCATATAATTTTAACGCTGCCGCCTAGCCTTTTACGTTTATGAGAGTCGTTTGGCATTGCATTAATTCCTGCCCCCGTTTCGCAACGTTTTGGAACACGTGTCCCCGCGTTCTGAAATTGGCCACGTTTTGTCGACCATGTCACTTTGTTATCTATGATTGACATTGATAGAACGCATACATATGTGCCACTAATTATGAACGTGGTCCACGTGAAAATCTAAGAAAAATTATTTTGTCGTTTAATCTGTCTTGTACTTTACATTGAGATCAAATAAAATAATTTTTTAGTAAAATGGAGAAGAATTGAATCGTGATAAGAATATGCTATACAAACGCCTATCTAAGCAAAAGCAAATTTACAAAAAGTAGAATAATGTTTCACAAGCATAATTTACAAAAATTAATTACCTATTTAATTAAGAAAAAGTTATAGATTTATTTAATTTAGCATGATTTAGTATTAAAATGTAGTGGAACTATAAATTGTATATACAACCTACGTATATACGTACATATATATATATATTACACCTTCATATTGTACGAAGTATCAAATTAGTTTATTAACAGATTGTAAAACGCATGAGGAATTGTGTAAATATGTACATACATACACCTGTTTTTATTTTAGCAGTTTCAACTTGCATTTATTAAGCGTCCGAATATTTTTGTGTCTCGAAAGGTACCTGAAATTTCATTACGTTTTTAATATTATTTTATCGCATAAAGCTCATTAAGAAAATAGTACGCATTTTTAAAGTACGATAAACGTTCTATCAAAACAAATTTGTGCTCATTTTCACAAAATTTAATTTTTTTATATAATCAGGTAAATTTTATCGTATTTTATTGTAATATACGTAGAATTTTTATCATATATTATTTTATATAAACTTTTCATTCTATAATACATTATATCGTGTTATATCTTACAGTGATTTACTGGATGGGTACAATTTAGCAATCTCAATATCGAATCCGCGTTACACGGTGGTTACCTGTACATATTAATAGATTGATATATATGTGTATACGTATGTACATACAAATATCGTGTACATGCACGAGGGTAGTACACCGAAATATGCGTCCATAAATTGCATTCATTGAATAAATCGCCTCTGTGTATCTTTTCCCCGTTTTCCCCTCTCCCCTCTTTTTTCTCTACACTCCTCTCTTCCTTTTTTCCCCGAGCCTTTATTACGCGTGACAAGATTTGCAAGTGTTGTGCACGCACGTACACGCGAGCAGCGACGATACAACGACGTAGGAAATAGGCAGGAAAAAAGTGAAAAGAAAAAAAATGATACGCTTTACCAGCCACAAATGGAACACCATTTGTCGTCGTTTCAATTGTTTTATTTCCGGCCGGGTTTTATTTACCGCGGAGTAATCGAAATTGTGGTCGGTACGTAGTAAAAATTATATAGAGACCGGCGGGCGGACGCTGTCGCGTCTACGTTACGGTGCCGAGTGAAATGTTGCGTGGATAAATCGTAGCCCCGTACGGGGCTAGTTCAAATATTATTTTTCCGTCGTTTGTACCGCGCTGCAAATCGCGCTAGAAATCCGTTCCGCACGCGGACCAACGAATAACACCGGTGAAAATTCAAGTACAGAAATGAAAACGAGATGCGGTAATACTGTACTCGGTCGAACGATTGAAACGATCGGACCCACCATGCTGTACGGTTCACCGTTAGTTCCGTGCGTTGACACTGGGTGTGCTGTTGTCGCTGGGCTTGTCGAATCTTTCGCGCTTGTTATTCCCGTCCACGTCACCGGGGTTCACTCGTGTTCTTTACATATCTCGTGGTTATTTTAAGTGATAATATTAAGTATGTGTTCAGGACTATCATAGCACGTAACCATAATTACCGCAATGTATCGTGTAGCGTGGATCTGGAAACTGGTAGCTGTGGCGCTAGCGTCGAGGAGAATGTTTCGAAGAATAACAGGCAATTCTCGTGTTAAAAGTGTTGAATATAAGAATATTGCCATAGGTCGATAAAACGATTAAAGTTTTGTTTATTATTTATTTAATGATTTTGACGAAATTGGTTTGAATTCGAGGTTACCTGTGTCAACAGTTTTGAGGTTAGACGAATCATTTGTAAATCGAAAGACATAAAAGCCTTCAAATTTAACACTGTGATATTAATGATACTAATATCAGCAATAATAATAAAATTTTAGAGCAAGAGCAAGGGGAGGAGCATTTAGTCGAATAGTGATTGAGCATATCGATACCAATATTACTGAAATCTGAAATTTTTGTGCAAATTGTGAAACTCAGGCCCAACTAGTAATAGATAAATTAAGAACACATCAATAGTTAATGTTAACTATGGCTATTAAATATATCGAGAAAAAAAAGGAGCGACTAACATGTGTAATTATCTTCGCTGCATTATCAAGTACAACTATGCGTTCAGACAATAGTCTTCGATTTCCTTTCTGATTTTCTGTATCCATTGCAATCGCTGTAACATTCGAACCGATATGAAAAGGTGCAATGTTCAAGATCAAGATAAACCAATCAACGATATTAATTTCAAGGAATCCAACGGAACGTTACATAAACATCATGCAATATAAGCAATTTATCTGGAATATCTCCAGATAATGTCTAGTATCTGGAATACTCCATAAGTCTGGCCGACCTACACCGAGAAAAGTATCTACCGTAATCGTATCGCATGATTAAGACGATTTCTCGAAAACTAATATTCACTTCCGCTCGAGAACTAATTAATTCCCTCTTTCTGCCCGTTTTCTCTCAGAACTCGCAGCTTTGCTTCCCCCCATTTCCCGAACTCCCGCTCCTCTTGTCTTACTCGGAGTTTCCCCGTGTCGGAAATAGAGGGCACAAGTTCGCGCCGTCAAGCTTGCTAAACATTCGGCCTATGAGGCAGACTATCGAGAGGCAACGCGAGAGGAAAATTTCATTACGACCAATCAACGTGAGACACGTCGTAGACCGAGACCTATTGGAAAGTTGGTGGCCCGGCGGTGTCAAAGAGATAAGGTGAGGATGAAGAGCGAGGAAAGTGACGCTCACGTGACTACTTCGTCTGGCGAACGCAATCAGTGTATTTTAATGTCGATATCAAACCCATCGTCTTATCAGTTTCCGCGATGAACTTGGACTGCTCTGATTTCAAAGCATAGACAGTGAGTCGCTAGACTTTTACCGGGAACCATGTGGCGGACGCTGCTGTTGCTCTGTGCAGTCCTGCATGTGCAAAGTTTCGCCCCGAAGATCATTGGGGGAAACAACGCGTCTATCAACAACTATCCGTACCAGGTGAATTAATCATGACCTTAGCCGACTCTAACTCTAGGTTACAAACATTTCTTGTATACTTATCTCTACAGACACACGTGATACACAATTAATTTATAAATGAAGCTATGAAATATATATTTCTATGAAATTTATAATATTTACGACTTTATACTTGAGAACATACGACCGATATGATCTGACCGGTGTAATAAACGGTTCTGTGTAATAGGTGGCTATTCACGTCAGTGGGAAAATGCAATGTGGAGGCTCCTTGATCAGCCAGACCTGGGTGCTAACGGCGGCGCATTGTGTTTATGGGTTCGTATAGATGGAGTTACGGAAAGAATCAACAAGCTAATTGCACGATCTATTAATTAGAGTCGCGATATTCATGACGTATAAACAACGACGAAACAAAATTCAGACGACTAATCGCGATTACCTTGCAGGATGACACCTAATGTAGTTCAAGTCCGCGTGGGCAGCACTTATTGCAGCAAAGATGGCACGCTGATCAATGACATCGCTCAAGTAATATGGCCCTGGCAGTATTCTAGTAGCACATATAACTATGACGTCGCTTTGATAAAGGTACGTGCTTCTGAGATTTTTTATTTATTTCATTCTTTGGAGCGGAAGTAGGAGGGGATAGGGTGTTTTCCGATTTTTATTCGGGTGGTCTTGGTCCTTAGCGTGTAATTTTCTGTGATTTTAATGGAGGATAACTGTGATATCTTCTTTTTAGGTTCTTTCGAATTTGAAGAGTTTAGGGTTATGTACTTCCTGGGAGTGGAAGGGCATGGGGATCCTTTTCAAATTTTTATTAACTAATCTTGGTTTTTAATATGATTTAGAATTAATTTTTCTTTTCTATTTTTCTTGCAATATGATTTTATTTGGAAATAAGTGTGATATTTCCTAGTCTCTTTCGAAATTGAAAATTTTTTAGATTTGTGTACTTGCTTTATTAATGCTTTTGGTATGATTTTGATATATTATTTAGTTTCTAGGAGAGTTTAGAATTAAATTTTGTTTTTCTCTTAAAGCGTTTTGAATAAAATTATCTTGTCAGGGTTTTATAAATTTTTTCGATATTTCTTATAAATTTTCTACTTCTTTTTGAGGAGGAAGGAAATGTTCATGATTTTAATTTGAAATAATCCAATCTTGAATCAATTGTACACTTAAAAAGTTTTGAATATAGGTACTAGTACCAATTACTTTGATTTCATTCGTAATTCTAAGAACATTAACAAGGATAAGATAAGTTACGCTTATTCGTATCAATTTCTGTGTGTCTGTCACGTGATAAATTAATTGATTCTAATTAGATAATGCTTTTGATTTTTGAATCTTATTTATCATTCGAATCTTTTAATTCGATAATTGGTGGTATAAAAGATAATAATTAAGCAGGAACGAAAATATTTTTACATCAAGACAATTATAATATTTACAATCACAATTATATATGTGCCTTGGATGTGATTCTAATTTTTCCAAAATTCTGTTTCAAATTTCTACTATAAGTTACATTTCTTTTATTTCGATTTACATAAATACATTCTACTTACCACACATGCGAAGAGCGTATAGTGAACATTCACGTATCTATGCAAAAACAAATTAGTCCAAAATTATCTTATCAATTGAACTATCTCTACTTTTTAAATTATAGCTAATTCGACTAATCCGCTTCTCAAATTTGCATATTCCTCTTATCTTATCATGTTTCCAGAAATTCACGTAATCCTTTGCAATTAGCTTGAATACGTACTAGCAAAATATGTAGATCAATGTGGTTTAGATTACTTTAGCAGAGGCAACAGGTAGTAAGTCATAAATAAGTGCAAAAATTTACGAATGCTATTGCGAGAATGATAGAATTTGCATAAGTCTGCGAACTGAAATTTAATCGCAACTAAAATGTCGGCAGATAACTACAGAAATTTTGAAAATAGAACAAGCATTCTACGACAAGTGACTTTAGCCAATCATTTTTTATATAGAAAGAGCACTCGACATGAGATGGTCGTAAACATGTTTAGTATAGAGCGACCACTCGACGTTGAGTAGCTATGATCACTCACATTACCGAGCGAGCATTTAACGTTGAGTTAACTATAGTCACTTTTAAGATAATATAAATACTGTACTCTGAGTCTTCATGTTCATTTTTATAGTAGAAGCAATTTGTATCTGATTAGTCACAATGTAATAGAATAGTGTAATATAAAAATTTTCTATTTTTATTGACAAAAATAGATCATCTTAATTTCCGTTGTTGACTAAAAATAAGAAATCTACAAATAAACTTTCATCGTATTATTTGACGAAGACAGGAAACGACATAGTCAAAACCAAATGCTATAATCCAATAGTCTTAGTATTGGAATCAATATTATTCATAACATTTAACACAATGTGAAAAGAGTGTCAGTATAACCTATTTCACACTATCCTAAAAGTGTAGATTTCAAAAATATCGAAGGTGGCGACAAAGATAGAACGATCAGAGTCACTTTCTTGTCCACGTGCTTACCCCAGGCGGTCAAATTTCTGAGCTGTCTACATGTAGTTAAATGCCTATACTCTTCTTCAGTGTATAGCAGAGTATATAACTTTCTGCTTTCTGACTATAGTCTTCTTCAGCATACATCAAGTATGCTTGAAGTTTGATTTCTAACTATAGTCTCCATAAGCATACGTCAAATATACAATGTCCTGTTTTCTGATTAGAGTCTTCTTTAGTATACCTCAAGTGTACAACGCTCTGCTTCCTGACATTGGTCTCTATTCAGTTATACCGTCAAGTATGTGACATTTTGCTTCTCGACATAATCGCAGTACTCATTTACAGCTGACAAAGCCCATCCCCATAACCGCGACGACTAGACCTATCACCTTGGCATCACCCACAACCTCCGTGGCGTCAGGCACAAATGCGATAGTGCTAGGATGGGGCCTTTTGTCGGTAAGTTTTTGACTATCCATTCCGTCCTATACGTATACCGTGCAGACAGCTGTTGCGCACGATAAATCCGTGTTTGACGCGGTGGCTCGATACCTCGGTCAACGGTAATGTTCGCCGAGACTGATTACCTAGCTGTGCGAACTCGTGCAAACATTAAGGTTTGTTTGCCGATCGGTCGACAATGTTCGCCCGTCACGGCAAATATTCCGTCACGGCGAGCTTTTGCGCTTCACAGACGCTGTATGCGCCGAAATAGTAGCGACGAACAGGCTAATATTCTATTACTTGTAGGAGAGCGGCCCAATGTCGCCCAATCTGCAGGCTTTAAAAGTGCCTATCGTTGACCAGAACAAGTGCCAGAAGATCTTTGGAACCATCGGCTGGGCTGTCACGGAAAACATGCTCTGCGCCGGGGAGTTGACTAGCTCCAAGGACACCTGTGCAGTAAGTTTCCTTCTTGACTAAGTACTATAAGGGCTGATTATGAACTGACTGACTATTGCCTAGGACCTGACTAAGATTCCAAAGAACTTAAATCAGAGAATCGTTGGGGATTTCACGAGGAATTCAGCAGACGCTAAAGCTCTGTTTACATTATTAGTGGTACCTTGGAAATTAGCTGATGAGAAGCTAGATCTTCTAGATTCCAAGTGTCTCTTTTCACATAGCAGCAGCACGAGCGAGATAGGAACGGGTTGTGGAAACACTCGTAGGTAAATAAGACTCGTATTCGAAGAACTGGTAGGAAGATAGCAGGTGGCCAATTTCCAAAATGTTACCGTAATGTTTGATTCGAGTCGAACTGTTCAGTTGTACTAAAGTAGCTCATCAATTTTGTTTCGGATCTGTGACTTGGATGTTTCTATTATTAATTAATTATGTATGTTCTAAAAAATCGTACATGATAGGTAACTGGTATAGTTGCATTTACAGGTAGGTTTATTTATCGCTAGAAGGCAGCACGTTATTTTTTGGATGATAATAGGGCCTTAGTATAAACGTTTCATTTGGAGGATTTGATTCTCTGGTTAAAAATTGTTCAGCGTAAACCAGGGTTTACTTCTGTCTTGGTTTACACCAGGACAAATCAATTTAAAAAATATATAGATTATCATTATCTCTCGTTGCGACATATAATCAATCAAATATTTCTGGGTCTGTCGTACTTATATTTTCGGAGTATCAAATTTAAGGCTTAGGGTTACATAATTGTCAGTTTATATCATACGTGACCTAAGATACGAATTTTTCCCGTGAAAAGCGCGATAACGATGTGATAAACAGAAGCGTTTGAAATGAATGTCAAATACGACACATATCCAACCATGATCGAGTGATACCGAAAATCGAGTGACCCAAAATTATCTCGAGATGTGATATCTTATGGAGGAGCCTCTTATCGCCTTCTATCGTGATTTTCATGGTAGGATAACAGACGAATAAATGATATCTTGTTGCCTTTTAGTCAGTTCATTTGATTTAACCACCAATCACATTCTTAATCGATCTATTCCTGAGTCTTTTTATTATCAGAATAGCCTAACATTACCTACCAAGTTGTATGGGTTCCCATGCACACTCAACATTTGTTACGCTCGAGCTGAACCTCTCAGACTTCCTCCAGCGCCGTAACAACGCAGCGCCTCTACCGCCCTAGCGCGCAACTACCAGTCGACGTTCAATGTACCAAAAACCACTGTTGCCTCCGTTAGCTCTAAAGACGCTTATTCTATTTTCTAGATCATTTAGATAGAGTGCTTTCAACGATTGAATCTCAGACCTTTCATATTCCAAGGAAACAAATTCAAGAATGTTTAACACAACAAAGTCTCGTCCAATTATTTAAGGATAGTGAAACAACAATTGCTTTTCATCATTACTTATATACTGCAGAAGTATTGTATACTACATCCTTTAGTAGCATACTTTTGACACTCGTATACTATATTCACAGCAGGATTTTCTTCACAGCATTCTGAAATATTGAAATAAGCCGAAATAAGCGAATTTCAATTTAGTTATAATTTTTAAGATGTTTTGAATCCATCCACAATCTAACCTTAATGAAACTTCTGTGTGCCAGTATTCTTTGCCTATAAAGTACCTCTTCCCAAGGTGGAAACCCTATGAAAGTATAGTTTTACAAATACCCTTTGTACACAATGGTCATATCTACAATTATTTTTAGTACCATTTAATTTTCAGTCTAAGTTCCAGACGAAACCAAGTTTCCGTTTCGATTTTATACTACGACCATTCTGTACGAAGAAAAGAATAATATGTATACTACCTCAGCATCCACCTTTGCACGTATCACAAACTGAAAGACTTGTTTCCATGTATCGCAGGGCGACTCGGGAGGTCCGCTTGTGTACAACAACATCCAAATTGGCATCGTGTCCTGGGGCTACGAATGCGCGAAGCCTAACTATCCCGGAGTGTACACGCGAGTGTCCGCTGTACGAGATTGGATAAAGATGACGGCAGGCGTGTAGAATTAATGTCCCACGGCGAACACTATATTACGGGGAGATTTATTTTTCTTCGCCGTTCGGCCAGAGTGTTCGTTGCGCTGGCTGAAACGGAAAAACGGCATGCACTTCTTCTCGTGCACATAAATCTTTCCCATCGTGGAAAAATATACGGGTAATATCCCTTTTCGTGTAACGATCTTAAGAGCTTATATTTACAAATGTAGCATAATAAATCCTTTTTATTCAACGCGAAATCCTACGAAAACGTCCATGTCACTCCTTGATTTCATTAATAATGTGAAATGAAGAAACGAGAGGGAGTATTTAAAATTACTAAATAGAATAGCATGTATCATAAAATGTAATATAATGAAATATAATATAATAAGGAAATATTAATAATTTTAGTCAAACAGAGATAATTTTTTCTTAATTAAAACAAATAATAGGAATAAAACAAAACAATATAAAATAAAACAAAAATAGCTTTCACAAACACTGATTAAATTTAACTCCTGTAATTACTGGATTTTTTAACGTTGTGTCTAAAGTTTAACAAATTCCTCAAACGACCATCATTTTTCAAGAGTACTGCTCACAATACTCTTTTCGCCATTCAGATTATCTGTAGTCACCCTATGCAAAGAAACATTTTATCAGTTTAAATCTCGAAGAAAGTACAATTTCCAATATTTCGATTGTTGATCAAATAAAACTTTATTTTCCTCAAACTTTGTATAGAAATAAACAAAGTGTAAGATAATTATTCGAGTATCATTTTCCAATGGAAAACGAGTCAATTTTTTTCAAATTTTGAGAACATTGGAAGTGCAGAAAATAAATAAAACGATTTCTGTCATGGGATTATTCTAAAATCGTTTTTCGATAGAAAAACGATTGGTTTCTCTTCAGATTTTGAAAGCACGAAAATAAACGACATGATCTTGACAAATGAAAATCTTATTTGCTTTTGATTATTGTTGCGATCGCGTTGAACAAGTTTCGAATATTCTTCACACGTCGAGGGAAATCGAAATATTTTTTGGGATTTTTCGACTTTAATCGTGTCATTGGAAACAGGGGAATGGAAAAGATAAGAAAATGAAAAAAGTTGAGTGGACCAGGTGGACTCATCAGCGAGGCTTATCTAGCAGACTTCCTGCATGGATGCGGGAACATTCAATATTGAAGGGACTTCCTTTGCCAGCGTTTGCGTGATTTTGCTGCTGGTTTGCAAACACTCGAAATTTCAGCCAAATTGAAAGTAAATCCGACCAGGTCCCGAAATTTACCGAGTTTCGAGCAATTCCCAGAACCGTGCAATTCGAATGACCCATGGAGTCGAAAAATGCAGCGACTCTGTCTGTTTCGTTCCTCTGAGTCTGTAAGCTGCTGGAGGAGTTTGACGGTTCTGATTCCTACGGTGAAGCTTCGAAACGGAGTGTTTCTCCGTGTTACGAGAAGAAGAGGATTAGAACTGGTCGGAACAAACTTGGTTATTAATAGAGTTAAAGTTCCAGAGATTGGGAGTTGGGGTTAATAGATACAGTTCGATCTTGGACAGATAGACTTCAGCTGAGATGAGAGGGCTGATATAAAGTAGCACATTGGAGTTCCGATTTCTTTATTCGATGTATTTTTCTCACAGAACAGTATCCTTTCACGAATAGGAAATTAAGCATGCAAAATTTCTTGAATTACTCCAACTGTTCTAACAGTAGAACTGTAAACCTGTCATGTGTACCTGAACGTAGTGTACATAAAGAATGATAATTAACGTACTACTTTGGAAATTAATAGTCACGCACAATTATATTCCTATATTAATCGAAACAACGCTAATGCCATTGAAAATGAAAGATTCGAAGCTAGTTCTGTCTGATTTGGTGATATCTAGTGTTAAATTCTTCTTATGGTAGGACATGCATCCAGCAATATACTCAACTAGGATATATCGAAACTTAGGGTAGACCAGTTTAGACCAGTTTTCCGAACTGTCTAGTGAGTTGCTTTGGTAGATGGTTCATCGTCACCAACTATGCGTTACTCGGAAGATGAACCACGTCACAGTGATAAAAGGGTTACATATCTGGTGCCTAATCCTCAGAGAAATTCGTCACAAATGTGTTGACTGTGATACACGTACTTCGACCAATGAAGAAGGTGCATATGCTCTATTTTCTAGTGCTGTATTAGCAAAACATAATTAATCAAATTCTCGTCTCTTTTGCAGATCGTTTGTTGAGACATAGTTACTATCAGTGAGGAGTAGGTACGTCCACGAAGGCAACTGGTCTACTGGATGATTTGGGTCAGATTAAATGTAAATTAGACTGTCGAAAAAATATTTTATTCTCATTTTAATTATTTAAATTTCTCAATAAGCAAATCACCAAACAAGCATGTGTCCCAATCTAAGACTCTGCTATGTTTTCTGAAACATAGGGTATTGTGGCTAATTATATATATCTGTTACGACTCCTCTTCTTTACTATGGTTGTCACATAGACCTGTGAAGAGATATGAAAACGAGGAAAAATAATGAGAATTAATTACCAACGGAAACAGGGACGATATTATAGCCCCAAGCCGAGGATCATACTGCGAATTTTGAGTGATATTAAAACATGAGAAACAGGTGCGTTCGCGAGAACCTGCTCGAGCCTCGAATATTTCTCATCAACGTGAACTTTTTAACGAAAAATTTGAAACAATTAGCGTCGCAGCAAACTCTTCGCTGACATAATTGCTTCCTGTTCCAACAATCAACGTACCATCGTGCAATCAAGTAATCTCGTTCGAGGCACACTTTTCACTCGGAAGCGTAACCATCCGAAAACCGTTCGCTCGTCCATTCTCCGCCATTAAGCTTAATTCTCACGTTAACTTCGCGAACGTGGCCACCGGGTCGGATTTTAAAACGCGTTAACCGAAATTTCGACGTCGGTTAGTTGCTATTTCCGGAAACTTCTCGACGTGATGGCGAATTGGCCGTGGGTGTGGTCGATCCTTGTCTGAAGCAAAAAATAGACTCATCCGACTATCACGACCTCTGCAAGGGGTACCATAAAGCACTCTGAGATCGAGAATCCCGTCCCTTTGCCTTCATAAACCGTTCGGTCCATTTGGGTCAACTCGATTCGTGCTCGAAACGACCCTCTAACTAATATCAGATGATTATACGTCATCAATTTTTAGTTTAGAGTTAATAGGTGGTCGTTTGAAGATAAAATATTATATGTTTGAGTTGGTCAGCGTGAGAGTTTCGCTTGAGAAGCTGAGATAGTATAGACATTGTTGATTTTGCACCTAAATGGCACTAATGATACTTGTGATGATAGATATATATGAAATCTCAGCTTTGACAATTAATATGTTCTGAAGATACGTGGCCTGGTACATTTCAGAACTGTTGTATATTATAATTTAGGTCAATTTCTCGTATACTTTGCTGAAACTCAAATTCAGTTTAAATTGGGTAACAGACATAAGTGGCATACTTCTGGAAATAATATAAATTTCAAGGAGGCAGATGTATACTGAATACGTTGGACTAGGTTATGGTACATTTAAATTAGATTAAATTTGGATGAGGGCTAATTGCCAGTTGGATCCAATAACGTTATTACATAATAAATCTAGGAAGTCTCAAAGAAGATCGCTTCATCTCGAATGCTGTGCTTCATCAAAATCGGATGAAGAAGAATTTCTTAGTTCGTAGCAATATGCGACTAACATCAAGAACTTTAATCCAATCTCAAATTTTTATATCTTCCTGCACATCATCAGTAATAAAATAAAAACTGGCTCAGATATTGCAGCATACTTTCAGAGGTACTGATTCAGAGATACCAGCGTTCGCTGCAATGAATCAAAGTATACAACTGAAAATCTATATATCAACATCTATATCTTCCAGCGTATGGATTACTAACATCGAGATTTCCTATATCTTTTTCATCCTCTCTTCTCACAGCGAGCAATAAATTTAATCTTGGAGAAAGTATATAAATGTGTCAATGTAATCTCGCTGTAAAATTTTTTGCCTAATTTTCTTATAATATAGAGTCTGTCAAATATATCATACATATTGTATATATCATATTGGTCACATGCAGCATATCGTATATACCGTATATAAAATATTTATTATCTTTCTTAATTTATTTATTTAGAATTTTTTCAATACTAAGTTTGAGTTCAATTATATTTATTATTATATTTGAATTATTATCATCTCTAATTGTGTTTATTTCAATTTATTTATTTAATCATATATATCATACCATACATATCACATTAATCATATATAGCACATCATATTATATCGCATATATCATATTACTCAGATATAAAATGTCATACATATCGTATGTATCTTATTATGTATATCCTATATCAGATATAGAGAGGTTAAGTATGGCACTACGTGGATGGGCCGCGAGAGGCGCTCGCAGCGCCAATCAATTACGGCTTGGAACTATCCAGCGATCGTTCTGGGACAATTAATGCTCCTTGCATCACAAGATACAATGATTAAGCAGTTTACTTTCCATCCGATCGGAGCAACCGCACCCGACACCGCGATACTGTTAATTTTCCTGAAAGGGCTGCGCAATTTTAAGTGCCGTCGAACCGTATCGATGAGCGCTTACAACATTATCTCGATGGCGGTCGAACCGGAAGCGGTAATAAAAGCCTCGCGCCGCCGATAATCGATTCTCCACGGATGCCTTTGCGAAACACTGCCGCTCGTTTAACGGGAAATCTTTAGTCGTACGGGTGACCGTTGCCTTAGCAGAAATAACGCGGCGTTTTTTTGCCCTAACCCAATCAAGTCAATCCATAATTCGCGTACATGCGGACCATGACAGTTGCGAAATTTAAATTCTGGATTTTATCGAGTGAACTGTAAAGGCAGTAAAAATGATGTTATGTGAAAGTTGAAATTAGAGAAGAAATGTTTTTGGAAAAAGAAGTGCCTAACGAATTCGAAGTGTGATTGACTGCTAGAAAAAAATTTTAATTTCGGCATTTACAAAATGCACTTTTTAATGGCAATTATAAATACTGTACACCGTTGTCATCGTGTAGCATTAATCCGCTTTAAAAGCCAAGGCAGAACATTCGCACTATTTAAAATGCATCATGAAACGTAGAAAAGCTTCGAATACAATTTCAAAAAATTCGATTCGTATAATATTGAATATATCAAATAAATTCATTGTAAAAGTTTTAAGAAAAATATACGCGTGAATATCTTTTATTGATATACGTAATATAACATTCTCAAAGCCGGAAATTATTCCACTTTAACAATTGGAATAGAATAAATGTTTGAAGCGTTCAAAGTTTCGATATATATATTGTACGTCCAAGTTTTACTATTTTATTCTTGAATTCACGTTGAACATTCCAATTTTAGCATAACTTTCACTCACGATACATTGTTGCTAATCCACACTGTTGCAAACATATACCATGACTTTCATAACGAGCGATGCATTAAATAATTTCGAAAGTTGAGATCAGACAACTGGATAAATTATACAAAACATATATATCTTTAACAATATTATTATATTAACATAATATTAACTTCGTGCAAACGTTTCAGCATACCATACATAATTCCATCTCCAACAATGTACATACGTACATAATACACTGTATACATCAACTAAAATCACTGCTTATTTCTCATTCCTAACCTAAAAAAAAAAAATCGAAATCAAGTAAACAACTAAACTCGAATAATTCGCAAACGAATTAGGAATAAAAGCATGATCGTATCACAACCATCATCGCACTCGATACACCAATATTTCCAATCCATTTCCCTTCAGACGTTACCCACAGTATTTTCCACGAACAATGGTTCCTGATTTCTAAGAGCGTACGCACGACTCCATGCGAAGTGCGCCGCGTTCGCCGCGCCATCTACGCAGCGAGAGGCGAAGCTCCCAGCGGAAGATCGGAATGAAAGAACTACCTGTTCTATACTAAAGAACCACCTGAAAAGCTACTAATGTAAAGCCTTACCCTTTTGCAAATATCGTGAGCGGAAGTTACCCATTCTCACCTTCTCCGATCTGCGACAGACGGTCATTCGTTATCGAGAATTATTAATTTTACTGCCGCCTCGGACGTGCTTCGGGCCTCTCCGTCGCTGTGCCATTGCACAAACGATTTTGCAGCTTTGCACAGGTGGCTGACTCGTAAAGGGCGGCAGAAACGAGCGTCGCCATTGTACGTGCCAGCGTTGATCGGCGTCTTCGGCTCGTAAAGAGAGCCAGAGAGCCCACAATTCCAACGGTGAGTTTGCTGGGGCCGGTTGCGCGTTCGTAAGAATCATGTCAGATCCGGCATACTAATGCAACGGGCATTACGCTCCACGGGCAATCGATATCCTCCGAACAACAGTCTGTCGTTGCCTGCCGATCCGACGGTTTCTGCATCGCGTGCAGCCAGCTCGCCTAATGATTATTCGATACGTTCCCCGTATTTCCAGTTTTTCCTCTCATCTCGAGGACCGGTTGCCGAGAAGCAAGATCCTTAAACGAGAGTCGGATCGCTGTTGTTCCCTGTCACGTCGCAAGTCAGATGGCTCTCGAGTATTATTCTTTCACCTGTCTACGTGTATAGATCGCTTTGCTCTTGTGGCACGATGGTACTGGGGTAATATCGTGCATTTGTAACTTTTTCGTCAATTATTAAATCCGTCTTTGAGATTTCAGAGACTCGGCTCGAGGAAAGTGTAGTTTATTCGTTACTAGGTTAGGTTAGGATTCGATGAGTGAGGGGAGTGTAGTATTTATTTTGTGAATTATTTCAATATTTTTTCTTAGGTTAGTTTAAATCCTTTGCTGCCAGTTACAAATGAGTGAATTTAATACTGCCATTATGGGAGAATTAATTTAATATATTTTAACGTATAAAATGTAATATCAATAGATTTAATATTTTAATATTATATTTATGTTTAATATTATGTTATATTAAAATTTATTATATTAAAACTGTATTATATTAAAATATAATATCAATTATTTTTTAATTAAATTAAAATATTACATTAAATTAATTCTGGTATTTCATATTTTCCAAATTCGTGAAGCAAAAATATCCAATTTCAGCAGTCACATCTTGTATAAAAAATGATGATATTGTGTGAAATTACTTTTTCTTAAGCTTCGGCACCTACCACTGTTCGTGCCAGTTTTGTGACACCGGAAACAAACACGCAACACTCCGCTACAGAAATTATTGATCATTCTTTGGCGTTAACAAATAACCCATTAAAGGTAACCGTGAAACTCTTGCTGTTCACCTCGATGACACATACGTCCTTTTCTCCCGTTTCTTCTGCTCGTTACGGTGGTTTTGATGGAAACAGGAAAAAACTTGGGTTAATTGGTTCGTACCAAAAGGAATGATGTTATCGCGCGTTCACGGCGTTGAAATTTTATTTTAGTCTCGCTGCTTTTACGTAATCGACGCGGAATCTAGGTCGACAGTCCGAGACTTTCGTGGATCGGAAATTTTTCTCGTGTTCGGGTAAATTGATACGAACGACAATTAACCCGAATATCGAAATAAAAGAAGGGCGAGCCTGATGGCGGGCAGGTAGTTCTTTCGTCAAGTTCCCGCCATGTATACGTCGCTGCTGTTGTTGCAGCTCGTTTCGCTCGCGTACTCGCAGACGTATTTAACGGATCGTACGTACGATTGGCCTCTATACAGCGTCGTAATACGACAAAAACACGCTTGAATTATTTAAGACAGAAAATATCATTAAATCTCGTACCTTTTACGTGTTTTATGCTTCTCTCGTTTTTATTCACGGAACAAGTTAGTACACATATTTTGTCCTTTATTTAAGCAAACAAAATTCGTAACCCAGTTGACGAAACTTGGTGGTAAATTTTATTTGCACTAATTAATTACTTGCGATTGAATTTTCTCTTGCGCGCGAAAGAAATTATTTAACCGGAAGGAAAATTCGCAACCCTGTTGATTAAATTTGCCAGCAATCGAATATTGTATTAATTTATTGCTCGCCATTGAATTCTTTGTTATTCGCGAAATAAATTAATAAATATACTTTGTCCTCTATTTACATAATAAAAGTTCCTAACCCAGTTGATGAAATTTCGTTTGTTTTATTCGTACAAATTGAAAACTCGCGATTGAATTTTACAGTACTCGGGAAATAAATGATCTAAACTCAAAAAATTTGTAACCCAGTTCGTGAAATTTGGTGAATTTTGTTCGTACTAATTACTCGTGATTAAATGTTTCACTACTCGCGAAATAAATTATTTAAACAAAACAAATTCGCAACCCAATTGACGATTACCTAATCTAACCTAACCTAACGCAATTGATGAAATTTGATAACACTTTCTTATACTAATCTGTCAGTCGCTATTAAATTTTACACATAAATAAATTTAAACGATATTTTATATCAAACATTAATAATCCGCCAAAATCAATTGGTTTCCTAATTTCCTGTCAAATTTTATACCACCCACTGGTGGTTGATTTGCTTGATTTATTTATTAAATGAATTTTCCACTTGCATTTAACCCGTTATTTTTCATTCTCTCCACAGTTCGTTCAATTCTCAATTTTTATTAAATCGAGACTGCTAAGCAGCCGGGCTTTTTCAGCCGAGTGTAATCGTCTCATCCACGATTATTCGATAGTTCTCGATCTAAGGGAGGTCATTAAATCCCGGTCGAAATCCATCGAGCAATCTGTCGCGCTTTAATTAGTAATTTTCCAACGAGCATGCAGGTGAAAACGCGAATTCAACTATTGATTCTTCCAGTTGACGAGAGCCGTATTGTTGGAGGCCAGCCAGCGAGTATCGATGATCATCCGTACCAGGTAAGTATTCTAAACGACTGTTGCCGCAATTGGCGAAGATTAATTGGCGAAAATCTGTCAAGCGTAAACGTTTCGTTCACGTTTCACACCAAAACAAGCTTTTAAAAACCGATACCTATCCCAGTACCGCTGCACCCAGCGAAAGTTCCCAGTTAGGCTACTTATTTCACCCGAAGGAAACAACCTGTCTATCTATCGACTCTCTCAAGTTTCTCTAAACTTCCCTTCCTTAACTCCTTATACTGCGACTTTAATCTAATTTTACTGAATGAAGTTACACCAAAATTTTAGAGTTTCTTCAAATTTTACGAATGGTTGAGACACCATGATTGAATATAGCTTTTGTCACAAATGAAGTGCATAATAGTGACACGCACCAGTCACAATAGATTAGAGTCATCGTGGTGTAAGCGATTAAGTTTCTCGAGCCTCCTGTCATCCCACAGAAAATAGGTAAAACACACCATTACGGTCTAACTTCTGAAGAATAGTATAACCTAGCCTAAATGACCGTGTTTCTTCAGACTTCAAATCACACGAGTTCTCTATAAGGAGTAGCTGTGCAGAATTATATTGTAGTTGTTACGTGGACGTCATAATGTACATTAGGGTGTCATAGGTTAGCCATCACCTGGGTAACCCAAGGAGGTGGTGGTTCCTGAGGACCAACAATTTCACGGGCATCCCGAAAAATATTTATTCCCGTTTAATCGTTCTCCAAATCACGATACTTCCACGCTCACAAGTTTCATAGACGCCGGGTAAAATTTGTAGGTGTCCCTTCGATTTAACAATCGGCACGTATGCGGTGGCGCTGTCATTAGCGAGGAATGGATCGTCACGGCCGCGCACTGTGTCCAGAGGTACGCACTTTTCCTGTTTCTCCCCTTTTCGTTAACAAGCGCCATCGATCTCGTTACTCGATACGCGCTTGTGTTACGTATAAACAGCCGTGCAACGTTAGTGAGAGTACTTCCGATTCGTTTCGTTTCCAGCCCGTTCGTTCGATTCTTCTCGATCAAGGTGGGCACTTCTGACCTCAGCGACGACAACGCCACCGTAGCCACCGCGGCAGAAATCATCCGTCACGAAAGGTACGACAGGAGCATTGCAGATTACGACATCGCTTTGATACGGGTGAGTTTATTCCCCCTGTATTCTTCACCTGTCTTTCATGCAACTCGCTGCAGGGTTGAGTTGCGTTATTTTACATGTTGTATGCTGTTATACGAAAAATCTCCGATTTTTCTATCGTGCTGTTAATAAACCTGTAATATACAAACAAAATTCCAACGATCCATTAAACGTTCATTAAATTTATCTCAAAGATAAACACCTAGGCGGGTTCATTTCGAAACATCCAATTACAATCCTTCGACTAATCCCTCAAGAAGCTAATCTTCTGGAGCTGTCAGCAATGCAAAGCAACGACACGTGCTTCCATCGAAATGGATCTCGTAATTAACACGAGAATGAGACGTTACGACGAGAAATGTTTGCGAGCAAATTTTGATTTTACAATCCGCGCAAAAACAGCGTGGAAACCACTTCACGCTCCGTTTGGAGAGAACGAAGCGTAGTAACTGAAATCTGACGCGGTGAGTGAGGTTAGGTGCAGGGCTAGTCGAACTCCGATCGACGAGGTTTATTTATTAACGGGCTCCCCGTGGAATAAAGCCGAAGAATTCAATTACCATTTCACAATCAATTCCGCAATGCACAGACTCTCGCCACGGTTGGCAACACCGTTCAAACCAATTATTGTACAATTTCAGCTGGAAAAGCCGCTGGTGTACAGCTCGCGCGTGAGGCCGATCCTGCTGGCACCGGTAGCCGATCATTATGCGGCCGGTAGTAAGGCGATGGTTACCGGTTGGGGAGTGCTGAGACGCGATGGTCCATTGAGCACGCGGTTGCGTAAGGTCCAGGTGCCACTTGTTTCTAGCTCGCAGTGCTCCCGATTATACCTGACCAGACCGATCACACGAAGAATGATTTGCGCCGGTTACGTGGACGATGGCGGCAAGGATGCGTGTCAGGTAATGGCTTTCGTTAATCACGGCTAATCGCGTGCCACTGATACATTTTTAATGCCGTCGTTAGATCGGTCAGATTGGCTACGTTTGCCTCGTGGGCTAGGCTAACCTTACTAGCTTACTGCTGAGATTTGTGACTGTGTTGATTGCACTTTGCTCTTTCATTAATCAGTGTTATTTTACGTACAAATGTAAAATGGAGAAGTTTAGGGTGTTAATAATTCTGGTTAAATCTCGCGTGAACAAAGGTTTGGAGGTTTTGAGAAGTAATGATGCTTCTTCAATAACAATAGCAACTTTATTAAAAGATGATACTCGTTTACTCAAACTCTATCCTTCACGATACTCTTAAAACTCTCACTCAAAGACTGCCACTGTACAACTGCCTTCTCAGAAGTCTCTCTCAATGACAACTGCCTTCCACACAATTCTCTCACATGCTATATATCCTACGCATGCGTTTTATTTCTAATTTTCAGTCTTTAAGGAAATACCTAGACTTTCTGTGCCATAAATAGTCTTCCCTGTCACAGGTATTAGTCTAAGGCTATACACTCATTTCTTTGTTACTATGTCCAACGTAGGCTACCACCTGGCTGTTTCCACGGGCGTCACAGCCAACTCTGTTGATTGTATTTTTGTCTTTAGACACACGTTTTCGGTGGAAAATGTCAATTATCCATGGTCCTCGGATCTGAAAGCACAAACTCCAGTGCAAGTTGCCACATAGCGACAACCACGGGTATCAGAGCCCGGTAAATTTAAATAGCTATTTGATCAATTTTTTCCATTGCGACAGAATGATGGGTATTTCAAGTGAGATGTCACTTTTGATCGAATTTCAACGCTTTAAGGCGTTGAATAACTTGGGCAGTTACATACATGGTCACGTAGGTTGTGTATAGGGATAAGAGAGGAATTGTTGAGGAATAGTCTGGCTAGTTATATTGAGATAGGTCTGATTTGTCTGATGTAAACGTGGATGTGGGGCATGCGAAGTTTGAAAGCATCTGTAAATTGGATTAGCATTGCACGATAAAGAGAGCGAATTGAGGGATTCGTCGAGATCGAGAACCTAAAAGCAGGGTCTTTGCGACCATCAGAGGTGAAGTCAGGCGAAGCTAGCAGAGTATGTACTTGTGTACATATGTATGTCTCTTCTATACTGTTCCTCTGGCTTCTCGTCTTTACACCGTATCTATGCATTCTAGCCCTCGTTTCATTTTTCGTTATTGTACTGTATCATGCTACGTTATTATAGCAATTCATCGATGCCAAACGGTTTATTTATTGCGCTAATTCGTGCCCAATTTTTATATCATAATGGAATCTGTGTACGATAATAATTATTATAAGAGGTTAGAGTTTAATTTAAGCTGCTGGAATATAATTTAGTTTCATTTTAGGAAAATTCTATCTTGACTAGCGCAGATTAGGAGAAGGTGATATTATGAGATTAAATCTGAGGATAATAGAATAAGGAGATCATTAATATATCCCAATGGGAAGTCAGTAATTTAAAACTTAACCTCACATTTCGTTTCTCTTAACACACACTAATATCAATCCTATACATATGTACACTACTGTACGAAAGTATTTGAACATTAAGATGAGCCAATTTCAATCAGCAGTACAAACACGATAAACTAAAATATTTGAAACAATACTAATATACATACATATCCATATACATGAGAAAAAAGTCCAAAGATTATGTTACTAAAACCAGAAAGCAATTTTGGGGCATGTGAATCACAAATATTCGAAAGAAATGCAATTTTCATTGAATCTTTCTCACTGTGATAAACTTAAGGCGTTTTTCCACGGAACTCACTAGCGCCACCACGCTCCATATGTATAAGAAATGTGTAACTACTTCCTAACTTTATTCTCACGACCTTGAAATTACCTCTTCGTTACATGAACCACATCGTTGTAAACATTTCATACACTTTAAGGACCCGTTCTATTCTCTCCAGCAACCTAGAATAAAATTATCATTTTCGCAGGGTGACAGCGGAGGTCCATTAGTGCAGCACGACAGACTAATCGGAATCGTATCGTGGGGCTTCGGCTGCGCGCGGCCATCTTACCCAGGCGTTTACACACGCGTCACGGTTCTTCGAAGTTGGATCACCATGAAAACCGGTCTATGAACGTCCCATGCCCATCCTAGTCGCAAGAACGAAACGTTATGGCAGCAGTTATGGAACAATTCGTGTTCTCCTTGCCTCGCCGCCGCCATCTTTGTTTGCATATGAAATCGAGCTCGTTTCACGAGCACGGAGTGCATCGATGCATCGAAACTATGGTAGATTTTCTCCTGTAGCATTATTGTGCATCATGGGTATAATTATCTGTTAATAAATGGCATTTCCCACCGTAGCTCGTCCCCCTTTCCACGGATCAATTATCGTACACGAATGGAACCTGACAATTATCCGCGCTCGTCAAAGAATTCTCTTCCTGAATATTTTATTCCCCGCACGGTCGTTAATAACCGGCCAATACCATTCGCCGCGCCTCCCCACAAGATAAACATCGGCTAGATGGCGCTACTGTCGCCCTACGTCGCTGTGTGTTTATTCAAACGCAGCAAACACAGGGAGATCGATAACGAGGCGTGTACAAATTCTAACGATGGCATTGACAAGTAGCCCTGTAATCGTGGCGGTTATTTTTCATCGAAAGTATCCGGTATTTAACCGCGTGTTCCCGGCATAAAAATGCTATCGGACCGCTAATGAACGAGTCGCAGTGGTGGGGTCAGGTCGCAACCGACAGCTGGGGCATTTCTGTGTTTTATCGACCGAATTTGGCATTCGTTATAAGGTACGCGTGTTCGCTGAAACCGCTAATTACTTTGGTCCACGATCGATCATAGTCTCGTTGCTTTGCTTCCCCGATTCGCGAGTTTGAATTTACCGCGCTTTCGGCGGGACGTACACTATCCTAATTCTGCGAAATTCGAATGAAATTATTGTTTTCTACACAATGTACGATAGATACATTCTCGAAACGAGGATAAAGAAGGCGTAGGAATTTCTCAAAATTTCTCCGAATCTCACAGGGTTTCTCTTTTGTTGATAAAGACTCGTGCTCTATCCAATGAAGCGAAACCATGCAGTATAAAGGAAAAGGAATCATCGGCGAGGAAAGAAAAGACGAAACGTAGTTACTGGGCTCCTTGTATTTGCATGAAGCCCTTTCGCAACGTTCGACAAATTTATAGTGTGACATAGCTTTGACATTACAGTGGCGAAATACGAACGAACAAGAACATATGACCCCCTTTCTCGTCCTCGTCCTTTTTAAAGCGAGGAAGCTTCAGCCAACCGTGTGTTCCTAGTAAAGGTTAGCAATGTTGACATTGTAGTTGCGCGAATATCATCTCATGTATAGTGGATACCGGAATTCACCGAGATCCACGCCAGGTAACTGCTGACACGAGTGTATACGCCAGGATGTACCATAGTTTTGCACCCTAATCCATAGGATAGAACGCCAATCAGCGTCTGGCCTTCCATCAGCGGAGCACCTGGATCACCCTGCAAGCAGACAAGGGTTGACAGTTTCAGTGATTACTTGTAGCACTATTCTCTCTTTCTCTCTCTCTCTCTTTCCATCTATCTATCTACGTCTATTAAATGTTTTGCCCATCCGATTTACCGGCAGTCGTAAACGCACTGCTGATTTGAAAATTCGTTTCGTGGAGCAAACGGAAACTGATTATTGGACTTCTATGCACCTTCCTGTCTAACTGAAATAGAACTAGAGACTATTAATTTAGCAGGGATGTTTACCGTTTGAGTCGAACTACTTTCAATTACTCGATTTTTCATTTGAATTTCCGTGCGACAATTTGAAGCGAAAGAAACGATCTTTGGAGGAAGGTATTTTAGAGAATTTATAAACAATATAAAGAAAGGTGAATACTGAGTCATTGTAATTAGAGAATTATATGTGCTTGGTCTGATTGATCTAAATTATTAGGCGACTGTAGTATTAATAAAATTTACTCGAAACGTATAGAAAATCGATAGAATATAGAAATGCTTGTAAATAATAATAAAGCAGTAATAAAAGTGTACTCGAAAGTGAATAAACGAAATAAAATATTCAGATACTTTAAGTAAGTTCTTCTGCATTAGAATTCCCATAATTGAAAAGCTTATTTCGATCAGAATCTCGACTAACTCGTTGAAAATTTGAATATCTCAATCGAGAATTAAAAATTGTTGAAGAACGAGTATGGAAGAACTGTTGGAATTAACCTTCGAAATCGATAAGGAATCCTGCTAGTGTCGATTTTGGAAAATCTGCTCGCGTTATACAATATCCAATTAATAAATGAAAATTCCAATAAATTTCTCCCCTTTTCAAACCAGCCTGCATTCAAAAATCGAATTTCGAGATCACCATGAGTTTATCTGTATTCGGAATGGAGATTAACCAAAAGGGAAAGAATAAATAAATAAAGCTGTGAAGGAACATGAAAGACTATAAAGTCTCGAAAATGGAGGAAAGGAAACAAAAATTGGAAATTAAACCAAAGAAGAAACAGTAAACGAATGGAAGCAAAGGGGCAAGGAAGTTGAGAAAAACGAAAAAATGAAGAAAATTCATCGGCGGTAGAGAACCGACCGAAAGATATTTCTCTTTGTATCATCCCGGTGAATTTTATTGTTATTATTATAACGATGGAACGTGTAGGAATCCCCGCGCTTTATGACAATTTTCTATTATGCTCGGCGAATAATGTTCAGTTCCTATTCAGCCAGCCGTATTCAAACGTTGCTTATAACGCGACGCATCTTTTGTGCCTCGTATCGGCGAACCGTTAGCACGACGATTGTGTCAGAAATGGGACGCAATGTCAGATATCGGCGTTAATGATACCATTGATCGCGTCTATGATTAATTGGGCGTGTTCAAGAACTTGCGAATTTTCGTGGATTCGTCAAAGGAGGAAAACGAGCGAAAAAACCATATTTTTATCGCGATATTTCCTGGATCGTTGAGCACCGATTGGTACATATTCGATGATTTCGTTTCGTGCTTCCAGAAAAATGATATCGAAAGTAATCGGTCGATTCGATGTAAACAGTCCGATTATCGGCGACCGTTGCGCCATCTACGGTACGCACGTCTTATTTACTCTCTCTGACGACAAATATTTTGAAAACTCGTCTGTCTACGTGTTTTTAAAGTCATTTTTATATATTTGTATTTCTGTTATTCTAGCGTTATTATATATATTGTATATCCGTTATTATATGTTTCTCTTATTATTTTATTATTTTCTTCTTTTTTAGTTAGGATAGAACAATTATAGCCAATGGCCATTTATGTAAAGGAAAAGAAATCTAATAGTTTGTCTAATATTATTCTAGAAATATTTCAATTTTAATCTCAAAAATCTTCGATGTTATGGAATGATTTTAATATAATTCAACATCTTCAATATATCGAAATTTGAGGTTAGCTCGAATTGTAGAAGACAAATTAAATTCAAAAATTCTGACTACGAGAAACAATACGGCCTGGATAATATTGGAATACACGATACACACCACCCAATTCGACATATCATTTGTTCTGAAATATGTATATGCAATTACGTCATTCCGCGATTCTGCATTCTTCTTCCTCTTTAACAATGCTGAAACACCATTCGCGACAGTGTGCACACAGCAGACCACGCGCTTCAAAGCCATGAATCCTAAACGAACCAACGATTATTTAACTTAAATTTAGTTATCTGATATTCCTTGATTGAATGCGTACCGAGTATTTGCCGTTCGTTTCACCTGCTAATCATCGATCGTATAAATTTCCATCCTCAATTATCCGCTCTCGTCCAGCCTTTTCGTATTCCGTTCGCGTGCGAGTCGATCGGAGCGCCATCTCTTGATTTACCGGCCAAACTTATCTGCGCATTAATCTCACGCCTCGTCAACATTAAGTGCGTTGCATTTTTTCGACTCTACGCAGTCGATGCCAATATACAAATCAGTCGCGTGTGCGTCCCGACAAACGTCGAATTGCTGCTTAAATACACTGCCAAGTGTAAGAGCACGCGAATGCTAATTAAAACACCCGAGTACAATAATTTTTTCGTGGTCTCCGTTTATTCTTCTACGATTGAAAATTCGTAATTCGACTCGAACCTCGTCGTTCGAGGGCAGAGACAAAGACAAATTCTGGCGAATCTAACGAACGAATGGCGTGTTAATAAGCGATAAACTATGCCGATGGGATCCAAGGAATTTCAATGGCCATTGAATATTCGAAGGATAATATGGGATCGGTGAACGGGTATTGTTGTGTCGCGTATCATTGTTCGGCAAGGAGCCACGTTTCTAAAATTTCGGCTGCGGTTTTTGTTGTTGCCCGATGAATGGTTGTTTAAGTTTTGGAAATATTGGTTAGCCACCATGGGACGTAATTAATTAGATAACAGAATGATGACGCCTTGCATTAAAAATTAGGTACACTAAAATTTACTAATTTTCATATATTGCGAACTTAAAATCTTAACTCAGAAACGTAATTTGCAACAAGTGCGATTCACGGTTTCACAGAGGTACAAAAAATTGCGAGTCCTAATCATTAATATCCAACGTGAATTCTCTGCCACTATGTCAAAAAGAGAAATACAGTTTACAGACGAGGGGAAATTTGCATTTCAATGGCTACCCAAACTCTTGCGCCGTATGACTATGAAACTATTCCAACTTTTTAACTCATTGTCGGAACTTCAAAACCTTCGAATATGCAATTCGACCCGTCTCTACAAAATTTAACGGTATGTTCTTCGCCATCTTTTGCGCGGGAATCGTATAAAAAGGATCCTAATTCAGTTAGCTTAACTACCCCTGAATGACCAACTCTTTCATGAGGAATATCTTCAACCAACTTCAGAAAAGGAGAAGCAAAAATTGATTTAGAAAATGGAAAGTTAAGCATCGAACCGGTACACTGACGTCAAAAATTAGGGAAAATTTCTGAATTGGAGTTAATCACTTTAGCTAGTGAACGGCTGAAACATCTACTCGATCATCCATGCCAAACAGTCAACCGTCCTGTCCGATCCCCTAATTGCACGGCACACAATGACCAGAGTCATCCGTCTTCCTTACAGCCGCGACCTGCCAAACCAGCCTTCAACTCGCGGAACTTCTCACTTACGTGCCACATGCACAGCCTACGCGTTTCATGCCGCGTTTTTGGGGACTCGAGTCCTGTATTGTTCCCGGAAACGGTTGCGCCTGACACCACCAGTCGCGCGACTAACACGTGCATAGCCGTGCACACGGACTCGACCAGGAGACACACGAATGCGGATCGTCGAGTGGCGTCGCGCGTCGACGAGGTCGAGGGATCTCCTTAGCAGACGCTTCAGGATGCTCAAGTGTCGCAGGGTTGTCGCGGCTCACGAACGCATGCGAGTTCTCTCTTCTTCTCTCTGGCTTCTCACCGCTTTCAACTCTCTTGAACCTGGTTTCAGACCACGTTCTCCTGTCTCCATCTTACCTGACACGTCTCCACCCCCTGGGTCATGTTACCGGCGCAGAGCATCCTCTGTAAGATCGGTTCATAGCAGGGCATCGTCAAACTGCAGGTGTCTCGATTTACCAGTGGCACAGCTGTCACCGTGAGCTGAGATTCTGCCGGGCCAGGCTGAAAATTGGCGATCGATGGCATGTTGAGATTTGTCGGCAGGTTTAGGGCAAGGATGATGCTAGCTTAGTGTGATGCACAGTGGGGAAGGACATGGGAATGTGGTGTCTCCGCTCGCGTATGTCACTTGTCGTGTCATGTGTGGCATGTGAAGTACGTCGTGTGACATATCTCGTGTAAATTATGACGTGAAAATTGTGTCATATGTCATGTCTCGGGTAACTTGTGACTTGTGACATGTGACAAGTTTCATATGAGTTAGGACTTGCGACTTCTAACGCGTGGCTAGTATTATACGATTTGAACCTTGTGACTTCTGACGTGTGACTAGTATCGTGTGGTTTCTGATTCATAATTTGGGACGTGTGTCGCGTAATTTGTGACTTGTGACTTGTTACTAGTAATTTGTATAATGTAACGTACGATTTAATACGAATGAGCAGTTGGCGAATGAATAAATTATCACGTGTGTAATATTTGTAAATTACGTAAGTGTTTAACCAAACATTATATTCTAATAATAAATATTATGTATATATATGGATGATATTATTGGTTACAATAGGAGGCAAGTGTAGTTTAACGGAGATCCTGCGGGCGGTGCCTAGGGGATTTTCGGGGAATTTTAAATGGCTAATGTGAATACTGAAAGGAGTGGGGGTTGAGCCTAGAGCAATTAATTAAAGGTGAATAACTGTGGGACTGTGAATTTCAGTTTTCCATAAACAAATTAAAATCTACGTGTACTAATAATTGAAATATTGGCATCGCTATGTAGTATTAACTATGAAAAGCACAGCTTGGAATTTTATTATATTAACAAAATCTGAAATATCAATGAATAAATTGAAATTCACGTTTTTTAATTAAAGAATAAACGAAATAGAACTAGACGTATACATACAATCATCAGTCAGCCATTAATTCCCTATTAATCCCTATAAATCTAAAAGAAACATTCAAAAAATCGTAGTATAACACACACATATATACATATACATTTATTATTATTTTTTAATATTCAAACATAAGGACCTCCATAAAATAAATATCTTTATGCTATCGTTGGATATTATTCGATTTGTTCCTTTCAAAAACATCGCGAAACAGCGTTCGCGCAGTTTTGTCCGGGCGTTAACGAAATTGGAAACCACGTTGTTGCATGTTTCTTTATTCGGCAATTGAAAATTGCACGGCATAAAGGGTGTACACGTTTGTTTTTCGCTATTCGCTTGATATCGTATCAGGTCTAAAATGGAATCAGATATCGTGATGAGAGTGAATATTTAGTGAACGAGTTTGCGTTTTAATGATCGCACGATGACACGGAAAGATAATCAGCGTCGGGCATAAAACGAATGACCGTTCGCAACGATTTTGCATCGCAATGCAATGCTGAAAACACATCGCGTTTCGCCCGTATTTTACCACGTTATCGGCGCGAATATTTTTATCCGTTCTGTTCCGTTCGTCGAACGTAAGAAGAGACGAACATAACCTCGCAAGTTTCACGCGAATACAAAGCCGAACAATTAATGAGTAGTGTCTACGCTTTGTAAGGTTTCTGCCAAAATGGCCCTAGTTTTAAGTTATTAATTACGTGGAAAACGACGCTTACCTTAGTCTGCCTCCATCCAGTCACGAAACATGTCGTTCCATCATCGAGCTCGTAGTCCTCCTTTCGCGGAAGTCCTATTGGTAACAATTTTTCTCCGTACTGAACAGGAATCTTCAGCTATGCAAATATCACACAATCAGAGACTCGCGTTCAAATATTTCCTAACACGATTCGCGTATAATCATAAATTTCACGATTTTTCTTTTTTTCTTTTTTGGCAAACTTATTTCCTGCGTTTCGACGGTAATCTCTATAGTAATTAACATCATACGCGCAATTGACACGCGTCGAGTCCAACTTCCCAATGATACATCACTGCGAGACATTTATCGAATTTTTCACGCGTCCACTGGTGCATTGCTGTTTGGCAATCCTCTCTATAACGAGTTATTAATATTTCTGCACCGCCGATAGTTCGATTTAAAATTGTCAAAATGGCCGATAGAGAGATAAATATTGCAAAATTTCGGTAAGAAATCATCGGGCAAAAATTCTCGCTAGAGGAAGGGATTGGAACAAATGCCCTCTATATATGTGCCTGTTATGCGAAACGTTTATGGTCCACGATACCGGACAATGCTCAAATTTTTATCGTATCGAAAAAATTTATCGACGGCTTATTAACGCCAATATATTAAATTTCATTCTCCCAATTTTTTTTACGCGAGAATGTGTACATGCTTCCAACTCTTACATATAGTAATAAAATGTTATATTTCAACGAGTGAGTTGAAGCACTCGTATTCTATCTCGTTCGTTCAAGGTACATAATGGAACGTCAATTATCCGAATTAATCGAGAGATTAATAATATAATCAAAATTCGCATAATCGACCTTTACTGTGCTTTAGGTTAACGTTTCGCTTAGAAGGGGATCCTAGTGTGGAACGTTGAAAATGTGCGTACTTTGGGAATTTTTTTCGAAGGAAGCATTCACTTTATCACTTTCTAAATTATTGGGTTTTATGGAGCAACTATTGGAACATAAGAATGTTTTTCTTTACATTTTAAAATCGAAAATTTTTGAAATGTGGCAGTTTTGAAGGAAAAGTAGAACTTTTCACAAAAGTTTTACGTCCCTTTATGTATAAAATGACTATTTAAATTATTTTTTTTTATTTTATACGTTCACCTTGTAGTATATGTGTCGTAGTACATGTATGCTAAATTTAAAGTGAATTAGAAATCTAATTTTTCAAATATTTTTCCCGCCAGTTTGGAAAATGTGCTCGCATACTTGCACGCAATAAGTGTATTGTGGAATCCTTAATATTTTGAGGATTAAATTGAAAATTTAGTATACTCTGGGAATATTGTGCTTTTGATTAAAGCAAAAAGAACAGTCGATTCTTTTCTGTCTACACCAGGGTTTCCCCTTAACCTAACCTCGTCGTTTAAAACACGAAAGTTTCGTTGTTGACTTTTTCGTCATCGAGAATAATGGTATCGTCTTGCAACGTGTCTCGTACCTTGATTAAAGCAAGATCATTTAGTAGGACGTATTTGTCGAAATCATCGTGAACTAAAATGTTACCAGCTTCCACTTTATCTCCATCGGCATCAAGTGTCGACGAGCGCACTCTGACGGTTACCACGGACGGGTCCGTGCTGTAATCAAATACGTCGTGTTATTCGTCGCAATTTGTGAAAAGTCCCGTGGAATGCCAATACTCACAGAAAAACGCAGGATGCCACAGTTATCACCCACGATTCGTGCATCAAGGCCCCACTGCACACATGACTTCCGTATTTCTCGATCGACACCTGCAGTAGGCGAAGAACCGTGGGCCAAAGCGTGCAATTTGAGGTTATGTTGAGTCACGCGACGGATTACGGTATGTTCCCGTGTAATATGAATTTATACAGAATGAGATTAGGCTCTTCAGGGACGAATTTGAGTTAACGTTACAATGATTTCATAGCAATGAATATAATAATTGTTGAGAAACGTACACACGTGTGCCAGTATCCCTGAAGAGGTTAGGTTTGATAATGATTGGAGCAGTCTGAAAAAATGATCTTTCCATCTCACTATCAAAATATCTAAGTCAAGTACAAGTCCTAACTCTATTTTCTCAAACACGTTTCATGATTAATCACAATGTTCAAACAATAAACGATATTTTGACTTACGTGATAAGGATACTCCGTGATGTTCACATACTTCACGTTATCGAATCCATGAACTGCACGAAACAAGAAAATTTTTACACGAAATTGTCTACACAACTTGAAGATTATTCCAAACGTTATTAACCCTGAAATACTATTCCCTATTTATTCTTTAAACATGGTCCATTATTATTTATATTGAACAATCTTGTACTTCCAAAAAAATTCACTGTATTATCCTCATTATAGAAATTAATCGAAATGGTTCTTAAATTTATAGAATTCTAAATCAATTAGACTCTACTTCCACTTCTACCATGCTTAATAAAGAAAAATGTTGACCAAACTTAATAATCATAATTCTTTCCTTATTTTCTCGGATTTATTTTTTCTTTTACTCTATAGCAAACCAATTTGACGCCTCATGTTATACATATGTTATAACATTTCACACCCAAGAAGTAATAGTAAGATCAGATAGCTATTATCGTGTTTGGCCGAAAATTTGTTGGCATTATATGTACACAGATATAATATCGCAAGGTTAATAACAACTTACCGTTCGCGAAAAAGACGCAGAATAGGAAGACTATTTTCTGAACCATCTCAACGTCCATGGACGAGAAGCAACGGATAACTGGTTAGACTGATGCAGCTGGAACCGGGTGAAAAGTTGTCGATAGCCACGTGTGACCAAATATTTCGGCGATAAGCGGACGTTATCGATCATTATCCGTTTTTCGGAGGTGAACTTCAAAGGAACTCGATTCACGTATCTCAATAAATTCAAAGAAAAAAGGGTTCGGGTCTCGGGCAGAAAAGGATCGACGCGTCCGAATGTACCGGCGAGATCACGATTAACGATATCGTATCGTGACCGAGATAATGGAACAATCGTGTCAAGATTAGTCACATATCCAATTTGAAGCCATTTGCAACTAATTGGTCAACCGTACTTGATAAAACGTATTTCTTGTATGCATCGCGTGTGTACTTGACGCATTTTCGAGTATCTAATCGCTCGTTCCATTTTATTTGTCTTTGTTCTATAGAGATCTTCAACGCACCTTCTTATCGAATCGATCGAATGAAGTGAGACATTCGATATTAAAGAAAAGTGCATTCAATGGATTATACCGTGCAAATACTGAAATAATTACAACAACGATTGGACTATAAGTGGACAATCTTCTGTGGATTTGTTTTGACCTTAGAGCGATAGCGCAGATATGTACATTAAAATGACTACTAACACAAGTGGTGATGAACGTTAGATTGACTCCGTATCACTGCAAAAGTAGACTTAAAGTTAAATTAGTAGTTAGTTAAACGACATTCTTTTCTATGAATGTTGTGCCTTATCTTCTCAATATGGTTAGTAGTGACGTAGCCGCTTACATTTGCTTCGTTCAATCGGTGAAACGTGTATATAGGTTAGAATGAAAAATTTAAGACGATATGGTGAATGCATTGAGAAGAAAATTCGAAGATTATGTTAGAAAGTTGGAGAGTAGTTCAATGATAGACACGATATTTGTATTACATTTATTGGAGATACAAGCCGTGGTGGCGCTAGTGAGTTAAGTGGGAAATAGTCTCAAGGCTGTCACTGTTCCTGCTTTTAAATTAATGCTATTTTTCACTGATATTACACGTTACTTATGCAAGAGTTTTATGATTTACTGGTATTACACATTTATGATTACCGTTAAATTTCTTTCCGATTTTATTTCATATTTCAATGTAACACGCACATATCGCTTTCTAAAAACTGTACACGTAAACGTTCGAGTACCTCCGTATACGGTTATATACACTTCGTCGAGTAACAGAGAAGACGGAACGATATTTCAAAGTATTTGAACGCTGGAGCATGGCGGTAACGGCGATCTTGATCGAACTGTCCAACCGAATAAACTATCGGAGAAAGTTTGCGGTGCTCTCGGGATCAAAGGTAGCCAGACGTAAAAAGCATTTCGCGGTTAAACAAACTATTTCATCCGTCAATCTGTCATCGAACATCAATACCGCGTTCGCCTTTTGCGGAGATATTGCTTTCTCTTTGTTCTAGGATTATAACAAGATATGCGAAGAAAAAGGTACACACAGGGTGGCCTCGAAAGGTACGCATAACGAAGCACCATGTAGTTCCTTATAAAATGGCATGAAAAATATATAGAATAATTCATTTTTCCTTGCACCTTAGTGTTCGAGAAAATCGGATTTGAAAATTCGAAATTTAATAAGAGATATTAACCTGATTTGACACTAGTGTTTTATTTCAACGAAACACTATAGCATCGCTTCTTATAGCAATTCGACACATATTTTAGGAAATTTCTTCTTTAACTTGATTAATATCAATCGATAATTGGATAAAGTTTAATACGTGATATTAACCTCGTCTGACCTAATCTAACCAACTCATTTCAATAAAACACAACCCTTTGTGTGTGGACAATGGAAGACCACGATTAAATTTTTATTTTCAATATTAAACTCGTTCACTTCAATTATGCTCTCATTTATTTATGTAATTTCACAATAATTTTTAAAGAAGGGAATATACACCGATTAAAGAATACGTTTCGCGTTTCCAATACGAAAACGATGGATAATTATGCTATTTCGACTATAATTTCGACTATAATTTGTAGCGACGCGTTTTTTAAACGTTACTAATACTCCTGATCCAGGATCGTAGTGCAGCTACGTTGGAGTACACGCCAGGATATTTGGGTCTAGCACATCCGTAGCCCCAAGACACGATGCCGTAGAGAGTTCCTTTGGCTGTCAGAGGTCCACCGGAATCACCTTGACAGGAATCCTTTCCACCAGAGGTGTAACCAGCGCATATCATCCTTTCGGTGATGGTGTTCTGGTTTTGGTAAATGCTAGAACATTGTTGTCTGCTCACTGCAGGGATCGATACACTCATCAGACGTGACGAAACTGATCCACCTTCCTGCAACGGATAATATGTATTTCGAAAAATGAATTTTATATATTTCTGTATACATTTCTGTTCTTGAATAATACGTTCAACTGATCCATCTTCTAATAGTGAATAATATACAGTGGCTCGCGAAATATACTTTACGTGCACGCAAACTTTCGTTAAAATCCGAATTTTTAGGTCAGAGTATTCTTTTGGAATATAATGTTCGAATACTGTATATGAGGATTCGATTGCTGGAGAGCGACGATATTTTTTGACGTATCGGTTTATGTAGTTCAATTATGATCGATGGCAAGAGTATATTTTTACTGCGCTTTGTGACCGATGATTCACTTGGTAATATCTAGTGTCGAGATTTTTCTGTGGAATCCAGTATCGAAGTTCAGCCAAAGTAAGAAAAAATTAAGATAAGGGGATTAAGCACGATTAGAGTACTAATATTTCTTGCACTATAACCATTCGATCTCTCAGGTAGATTATCTGCTTTCAGCACGTAGGAAGATAAAATGATTCATCAGATTTACCCTCAACGCGCCCCAACCAGTCACGTTCAACATTGTGCTAGCCGATGGTTCCTGGGTTGCCAATTTCACAGGTTGCACTTTCGAATTGAAGCTGATTGTACCATCAATCTGGATCAAAGGTTACGCAGTATTAACTTTGATTGTTCTTACTCATAATGTAGATGATCCATGACATGATCGAGAATATTAAAAATGATTCGAAATAATTTTCTTCCAGTTTCTCCTAATGCAGCGGTGAATTAATATCACAAATTATCATGCAATGTGTCTTTATTCGTATCATTATCTCAATGTCTATCGTTGCTGTACAAAATTAATTCGATGTCGTTACTTAATACTAATATACGGGGTGTCCGATAACTATAGTGGTACAAGCGTGCAGAAAATGATTGCACGTGTAGAAGTAAGTAGAAAGGGACCAGGAAATTTTTTCGTACAAGGTCCCACTTCCGAGAAAATTGAATTCGAAAATTCGTGGGGTGCGCGTAAATAGTATGATATTTTAATTCCGTGGATTTTCATTATTCTATCATTCGATCTACTTAATATAGCTGTAAAAATACTAGAAATATTTATAAACATGAACGAATACAGTCTATAATGAAATTCGTAGCACGAAAACGAAAATAAAAGCACGCATAGCCCACGAATATTCAACCCAAATTTTCTCTAAAATGGAGCCTTGAATACAAAAATGTTATTCTTCCTTTTCGACTTATTTTTACATATAGACTCATTTCCTGTTTGCTTATCTTTCCGCGTAATAATAGAAATAGTAAAAATAGCCTCAATGAAGCTAATAAAATTAAATTGAAAACACCGTCTAGATTTTCTACAGAGTTTCAAAATTTCGTCCAAATATTTATAACTTACCACGCGAGTGAAATGAATAATGTATCACGATTCAATTCGATTCGTTCTGCTTTCACTCACCTCCAGCAGCGCCACGTCGTAGTCTATGGTTCTCTGATTGAACTCAGGATGTGGAATAATGTTCTTTATATTGTAACGTGTGCCCAGATTTTTATCGTTGTTACCTGCTCGTAGAGAATATCGGCTGGGACTGCCTCTGTAATTGATAGAACATCGAGATACCAGTGATTCCAGGCATTCACTGCACACGGTTGCGCATAGACGGAATTTGTTTGTTTCTCCGAAATACGCTCAATGTGTAACGACCTTATTGTTATTGCATAATGACCAGCAATCGGTATGGAATGCGAGCCGCAAAGCCGATTTAGCATAGCAATGGCTTTAGTAATTATTATCGTGATGAACCAGCGAACATTTCGCTGCGCGAAAATACCCGGATCATCCGTATGACCGTGTCACGATACTTTATCCCCCGGTACTGGCGGGATTCAATTATTCGAAAGGTCAGAGCAAAGGATAGCATCGACTCACGAAGGAGAAGCTTAGCACGGCGTAATTGTAATGAAATTTTGAAGCGGCGCGCACGGTCGTGGGATTTTAACTCACCCCTGTAATTCTTTTGTACTCGTGTAGTATTAAAGCCCGAAAACGACGTTAGACTAGTAATGGTACTGTAGAAATATGTATTATAAATGTATTGTATATTTATTTAATTGGAACGGAGGAGTGGTCATTTGAAAAATAATCGCATAAGAGAATTGTTAAAAAAGAACGATGTTAGGTTAATAATGATAATCTAATGAACCATATCTTTATTTAATTAAAACTTGGGAAATATCATTTGACAAATAATCGCATAAGCAATAGAATTATTTTAAAAAATTAGAGAAGAATGAAATTAAACGAGAAGACAAGGAAATGTTTTTAGGTTAGGATTGTAAATGCTTGAACAAAGGATACTTGGTACACTATATGATTATTGGAAGTATGAGAAGCGAGTTTTGGGTGCACGTGTCTGAATGTTCTTTATAGCAATGATTTAATAAAAAAAAAATTGTGAAAAAGGTAGAAAAATAGAGAAAGTAAAAGCATACGTAGGTGGTAATTACATATAGTTAAGAGTCAAGAGTCTACACAGCATGTCCTATATAATAATAACCACAGTATCAGAATTTTGTAGTGTATTTGCTATAACTGTACCTATCTCATAATTGGAACAGTATATTTCACCTGTCTTGTTCAGTGGCTCCCGCAAAACTGAACTCACAGAAATTAAAATGAAATCCTAGCTGCGTTGAAATAAAAAATTAATAAATGAAAAATTTCATTTAATCAAGAAGTTCAGAAAAGTATTTAGTCTTCCGTTATAAATTTCTGCACTATCGAAATTTGCTTAAATAAAATTTTTCGAAGATTCTGTACATTTTCATAGCGTCCAATTTTCCGCGAAAAAATCTATCTAACGCTTAAGCCGAGAAATTAACGCGGGAAGGTCAAATTCGATTAAAGTTAGTTGGACACGATTAAAGTTGGGATTACCGCGTTTCGGCCGGCAAGATCTATACACCGCGTGCAAAGCAGACGTTCATGCAGGCTTGCTTAGCATTACTGTTAACATTACGTATTTGTGTTATTACCCCACGCAATGAGCTGCAGTGACGGCCCATTTGCTGCTGATGATCGAGGCACCACAAATGTGCCCGGTGGTTTGCAGACTCAATTGATGCGGATGTTCAGATATGTCGACCTCGCTTCCTCCAACAATTAAGGGGTCCGGCATTGGTGGGAACACCTTCAGCAAGGAGCCTGTCATATTCGATGAAACACAAAAAATAAACAAAATGTATAACAATACTCGCGTAATCATTTTTTTCAAAATAATTTCAAAATTCTAAATTCAATATTACAACTCATCTTCTTCCACGATTTAATTAGTGCTAACGCGTGTTTCTATTGTGACAGTCGTTATATGTATTTACTCGTTAATCTAGTTTGTATCATCTAGATTGTAAATAAAAGGATGGACATTTAAAAAATTAAAGTCTTCCAGTTTTGTTTTACCCATTTATCTCATAGCTGTGTATCAAGGAGTTAAACATGGAACTAATTTCGTCTGATCTTCTACTTGAGTAAAAGGATGGACCAAAGAAAAGACAACAGGACTTAGACTTTTCATATATACTTACAAAAGGAAATTTCTGAATAAAATTCATTAAAAAGTGGTGAATATATTATTCGATGTTATTAACTTATTTATTTATTAACACTAGAACTGCCGATGTGTAATGATATACAGTATAATAAAAGTAAAAGAATATACGTAATTAAGATCACACTCGAATAAAAATCGATATTAGTTTTGCCAAAACACGTCATTTGGACACCTTTGTTGGTTCTAGTGTCACTATATACAAGAATAAAACAAAAATAAAAGATAGATATATACACAAAAATAAAAATAAATATAAAATTAAATAAGTTAGAGAAAGCTGTGAAGGTATCACAAGACAAAGTATTAACCCAAGTCTACATGGAAAATTCAGTATAAATCTTCAGAAACAATTAATTAATATTTCGATGCAAACAATTTATTCTAGAAAACTGAAAGATCTATTTCTAATTTCCAATACAGCTTACTGAACCCCTTTGGTCACACTCACCGAGGCACCCAGCAATGAAAACACCAAGCAGAAGAACGCTCCGTAACATCTTAGAGCAATATCAAGACTGCGCGAGAGCAGTAGCTTTTATACGGAAAATCCACTGATTCAGCGAAAAATCCTTATCTGACGACAATGCACCGAGTTTCGCTCAAGTAGCATGTGGTGCAAGCATTCGTAATATCGTAGTTACAGGGGTACGGGAAATGGCGGCTCGCATAAGAAAAAAATAGCCCGTGTCTTTTCGCCGGCGCGATTGCAACGATATCGCGAGATAAAAGTCGTGTCGTAGTACGCGAGGGTCGCAATAGAATTTTGAATGAGTGCGTGCACTTCGCTCGATAAGGAATTTTCAATGATCTCGCTACGCGTTAAGCGCACCTAGTGCGTTTTCTGATCACAATAGCGCGGACATCTTTAGACGATCTCTCGCAACAGATTGCTCAAACTTTCTACCACTGTTCGCGATCAAATCTCTTTAGGGAATCGAACTTTGCCTTGTGCAAATTTTGCATCTTTTCTCTTGCGAGCATGATAACGTCGTGAATGAATGAATAATGAGTTCATACGACGAAATTTGATGCATGATGATCGTATCGTGCGATTTAGTGTTAAACTGTCTTCAGCTAACGCATGCAGCTTTCAATCTTCATGGTATTCTGTGAGAATCCGTGTATCACACACGTGTTATTTTCGTGTCATTTAAATCTTTTCTATTTTCGTACTTGTTGCGCGAAAATGTAAGAAAGATTACACGTTGTAGAGTAAATAGCAATACCATATATCTTTTTCTTGTAATTGGCGCAAATATTCTTTGCACCTTATTCGATTTGTAATCCAATTTATCTAAATTTGCAATCGACAACAATGCTGCTTTCCTGGCATATTATTAGCGGCCAGGGACCGATTGGTCGTTTGCGATCGGTCGTTAGAGTTTGAGGGCTAATTGCACACGTTGATTTACACATTTTGTCAGCAAATATATGGATCGCTAGCGATTGTCCCGCGATTAAACATCCTGCATCGAGCTTTAACGTGCACCAGGATCCAATGGAATAAAGCGAAACACCACCAGCGGGTATTAGTTTGTAGCAATTCTGAAAGTCAATTGTGTAATCTGTCCCCGGCGGCTTTGTTCACTTTGTCATTAAATCCTATCCGCGATCGCATGCAATCAAAATTAGTCGTGCCTTTTATTAATCGTTCACGTATCAATCTCAGTGGAACAACCGCGACAACGTTGTTTCCAATATCATTATTAATGGAATCCGAGTTCGTGTTTATCTCGTCATATTACTCAAGTTTGAAAACGTCAGAGGGATATTGAAATTCAGTTTATTCAGCTAATAAAGAGCATTTCAGTCCAGCGGTCCACAACTACGTTGCGCCATCTATGTCGCCTCATCTGCGTCGCGCCATCTACGTCGCGTCATTTACATCGCACTAACCACCTATAACTCGTAAGTTCAGAATAATTTTTACAGTTTTGCAACCTCACGGAAAGAAAGTATACGTCGTAACTTTGGTTTATAACAATTTGAACACCCAGTTCAAAAATATTTAATATCGTACTTTCTGATCCTTTACTATAGTTGCGAACCATTGGGGTAAAAGATGAATAAGAATAATGTTTGCGCCTATTTCTCGAGATTACTGAGTATATAAGCGATACATGAAAGTCTGCTGATGAAATCTTAATAACATTGTTAACCTGCCTATGCTACAAGAAGTTACTTGCATGAAAATAATTGCACGATCTGCATAAGCACTTTAATAAAACACCTCACAGTGCAGGTCTATTTACAGGATAGGTAGGTAGCAGTGGCACGTACGTATATTGCCACAGGGCCTTCGAGGTACTATGATGAACTTCGAGGTCGAACTTTGAAGTGAAACTTTGAGTGATAGAATAGGGATGCTCACTGCTTCACAAGTATGATTGTAGGTTCCCTATAGGGAAGTGGATAGAGACAAGAAAGGGACACTGTGTATGCTTGTTTGAGAATATGAATCGAGGAATTAATGACAAAGAATAACGAATAAATAGTTTTCATTGTTTTATTGTAACAAATAAAATTTCTTGTTTGTTCTTGCAGACGTCTCCTAATAAAAGGAAATGTCCTACAATATTCTTTTCTCATCTTGACTCTTTATCGAATTATTCTTACCGGGACCAGAGTCTCGTCTGAATTTTGTTACCCTCTTCTCTACCATCCCTCGTTTAATTTGCCTGGTATCTACGTTTCCATCTCGCTAACGTCTTTACACCATCTTTTCCTCTTATCTTCCGGTCAGAAACACCGAACCCGATTATCGTTCACTTCGTTTCCACGGATGTACTGCTTCTAACACGGTCCACCAGATTTAATTACCGTAATAGTATTCAGCAGCAGGAACAAAACACGAGGCACAGACGTCTCTTGCATCGTATCCTTATCCAGCTTGCCAGAAAGAATCGCGTTTTCCGGGAAGCTTGGTTAATCGATTAAAGTGCCCGTGTTCACACGCTGCACGGGTTCAGTGGCACGTATCAGAGCCATGCTACTGCGAAACAATTAACGTATCGTATCGCTCTTAATCCCTCAGATCGATTGCTTGCCGTTTAATCTGTTATTAATTTCTCTCGCGCTTTTACACATGTCGCTTTATTTGTCGAAATAGCTACCCAACATCAGAATTCCTCAGCCTTATCTAGGTAATTTATTGCCTCTGTTACATACATTGTATAGGTCCCCGATAGACTAGTTTATCTGTTAAAAATCAATCAGGTCGATAAGCGGAAAATCCTTCGCAATATTTAGGGCAGTTTCGAGCAGATAACGCATGTCATTTTTCATCCTGTTTTCTTTCTCTAATTGCGTTGGGGATTAGAATGATCAATCAGCAGCTCTGTCGTTATCTCGTTACCTAACCAGTGTCTAGAGAATGACGATTAGGAAGATTGCTCTTCACCGAACGATTTTCGAATTTCAAGCAGGGCAGATCGATTCTTCGCGTTTCAGGCGTCCCGGGAACTTTTAATCCGTGAAGAGGTTCGGGATGACAGGCTAGGCAGAGGGGTCGTTCAGGGTCTCATAGTTTTAGTAGCAAAGATTCCATCGACATCTCTCGGTTCATTGCTAATTAATTAGTTTTCGATCGGCTCGACTTCCAATAGGAAGTCCGCTTTTTTGCCTTCTCCCTGTCCGATTATGACCCCGTTTGTTCCGCGCTGGAACTTCTCTAATAGGAATTCTTGCTGCAATTATTTCACGGATGGAACGAGTTGAAAGCCGGACTTACGATCGAGCGGAACTGGTGGCCGTTTCATGGAAACAGAACGAAGAGACGAGGGATGTACGGCCTTTAAGGAAACACTTTCGAACGTCTGCGTTGAAAGCAGAAGTAGCTGTTGGAAGGTTCTTAGTCGCTTTTGCTACGTTTGTTTTTAGACGACGTTTTAGTGGTCGCTGTGCCGTCGACTACTGGGCTCGGAGTCTCTCTACCATTCCAAGTACCTTGATACTTTCTTATTTACTGTTCACTATGCTCGAGGAGGAAGATTCAATCGAGGAGTTTAGGGTCCTGGTCCGTTCTGAAGATCGCGATACGGATGTTTAAATTATTTTTTGAACAGGAGATGCGACAAACTTGTCTAAAACTCTTAATGGATTTGAGTTCTTTTGTTCAAGAATACAATGGCGTGTGACAAATAGATAATAACTATTTAACTCCTTGAGTGACAATGATGTATATCGCTAGTATCGAGTCATTGTGTCAAAGTCAACTGTGATAGGGTGCATTCGCTTTCATACCAGGCTACCAAGAGTAAAATAATATAATAATAATAAATTTTAATTTATTAGTAGAATTTGTGGTACAATTAGACAATTTTAACAGACATGTCTATTCAAATAAATACTAAATAAGTAATGAAAATTTTAAATTGATGTAATTTTCTACAGTAAAATAGTGTGTCACAAAAATGGTAGCAGAGAATTCGTGAGATTTGAGTTTGCGTAATGGTACCCAAAAATTTCTAGAGGAGCTCGAATTTCAATGCAGCAGATGGCAATATCCATTAGCGTTAACTTTCTAATAACCAAACTTTCAAAACACTAAACTTCACTATTAGGTCGCCACATAATATGAAACGTCGTTTTTCGAAACTTTGAAATTAACACACGAATACTGTAACTTGAATTTTGTCCGATATTCGGTTATTAGAAAGCGTGTTAAAGAAGAGTAAGATTACTATAGCACACGTGTGCTCGATATTAGAAGTAGTTATGATAAGATTACTAAATCCCCGTTAATCAACGTCATGGATCATCGAAATCTCGAAACCTTTTTACGAGTTTGAACCCGGAGGATTCATGATAGAAGTAGGTAAAAGCATGATCATAGCATTCGAGAAAGCTCATGTTTATATTGCAATAGTTTAATAATAGGCGGTTGGTTTGTAGACTAATGAATTTTCATTGAAAATCATCTCAAGCAGAAAATGATAATATTTAAAGAGAAATTATTGTTATTGTTGTTGTTATTTCTAATTATACCAAAATATATTACACTGCACTTCTGAAGATAAAGATAATAAGCAAAGAGAGTGCACGATACATAAACGACCACAGGGATTTAAAATGAGAGGAGTTATGTTCTTATTCCAAAATGTGAAATTTTGCATCAAATTTACTCCATTAGTTTTACATCTGCTTATTATCACTTTTTCAAACACGTATGCAATTTTTAGGTACTGAATTATTCTTTTACTACAGCGATTGTTAGATATTAAATTTATACCTGTAGCCGTTGTGATTGTGCTATTATCTACATCGTATGCATTATCTTGCATCGTATGTTTAGTCACATGGTATGCGCCACGCCCAGTTTTCGGTCTTCAGTTGATAACAAGATCAGGATGCTGGTTACGTGTCTCATAAATGTGTTAGATTAAAGTATTTGTAATGCAATGAAAATCATACTGTAATATAATGTAATAAAATATAATGTAAATAAAAAGACTAAGTTTATATATGTAGAAGTAAAAATTAAAAAATCGATGACTATCAGTATTC